TTTCAGATTATTAAATTCTGCAAGAAGTCAGAGTTTAGAGAAAGAAATACACTGAAGATTATAATATCTTATGTAAGAGGTCTACACTGAATAGATCAGTATAATATTATAGGTCTTATGTAATAAAGATAAAAATGTTAAAGAAGGAAAGAAAGAGAAAGTGCAAGAATCAGCAATCAAGGTGGATATTTATACGCGTACATGGTGGTGTACGCGGTGGAGCTTCAGGGCGGAAGAATATGCGCGCGTTTATAGCGGCCGAGGATCGGTGATCAGGAATGGCCGAGAATCAGAGCGTACGCTACGCGCGTTCGTAGCGGCCGAGGATCGGCGATCGGGAATGGAAGAATCTATGGAGTGTAATGGAATAGTCTATATGATTGATCGGGCGCAGCCCGCCACATCTTATAACTGAAGATTTTATTATTGCATAGTAGCATAGATTACTGTCTATCATAGCTTTCATATTATATATGTTATCAATCACAGTAGATATAAGAATTACATTCATTGTTATCTTCTCTTTAAATTATTGTCATCTGATCTCTTCAAGCTTTTGTTTGTAAATTTGAACAGAAGCTAATCTTTTCCCTGTTTCATCAAAGCATTCTTATAGTTATTTTCTGAATCTTTCTCTAATGTAATGTGATTAGTGTGAACAGGTGCTGATCTTTCTCTCAAGTATGAAGATATATAGATTAATCAGTAGTTGAAAGCAATGTGTTCTAATCAGTTACAGTTGATACACACTTCATATTGACATTGATCAATGACTTCTTCAGAAGTGATCTCTGAAACTCAGAAGCCTGTTCAAACAGTAGAAACTCTTGCTTATGTATAGATATTTAAATCTATTCAGTTCATAACATCTGTATCATTGTTATTCTTTAGTACAGATGTATAAGTGACTGAGATGTAATATCTTCTATCACTGTTCTGTATACTCTTGAGCTTGATAAGATAGTCATTCAATATCTGAAGCTGTGTTTAAAAGTCTTTATAAGTCTAGTCTTTATCTACACTTATAAAAGTCTGTAAGAGTTTGAAAGTTAATATCTTCTTAAGTAGACTGGCTTCTGAGATTATGAATTTCATGTTTGATCTCATTTGATCTGATCTCATACATTTCTTAGTGTGAATTCTGCTGAGACTAATCATTAAATAAATATACAAAGTGATTATATATCACATCTTAAAATGAAATCATGAGTTGAAAAAAATGAGAAAGTGATCTCATTTAATCTCATTTAGTTCCATTCTTGATATAAAGTTACTATTTTTAGATATTTTAAGGTTTTTTTTAGACTATTTTTAATTTTTTAAAAAGTAACACTTTTTGATAATACTCAAATAAGATTTAAAGTCATTTAAAGCAATAAAAATAATTTAAATTAAGAAGTAGAAATCATGATCTTATTTGAAAAATATAATAAGAGTAAACAGTAAGTCTCACTGAGACAGTATGAGACTACTATCTAATATTAAAACCATGTAATGAAATCTGTTGAATTGACAATAAGACTATCAAAAATTCTGATTCTGGTCTCAGACATGGTCACATAATCAGTCTATTCTTGAGTATGTTAATCTTCATTTAATTCTCTTAAGATTAATCACCTGCTTCTAGAATCTTGATGTTGAAGTCAGAGATAAATATTATAAGAGAAGTATTTCTCTGTCAGATACTCTGTAATTAATCTAATACTTTCTATTGTATAACAGTGTCTTAGAATAGAATATTAAGATATCTTATAATATTGTTAAGTATTTACAATACTGATTTACATGCTTTTATTCATGAATAAAACTTCTGTTTCATACAATCTTTCAATTATTTATTAATATATTAATCTTGATTAATTAATAAACTGATGAAATCTTCATCTACACTCAGTTTTATAAGCATTTTCATTCTTCATAATGAGTAGAGAGTGAGATCAGAAGTATTAAAATATATAGAAGTATCTAAGTATTCTTTCAATGCTTTTGTATTTAATTCTGTAGATGTTGAAATTATATGAGTTAATTATTAAATCTCTTTATATTGAAGTTGTTAAGTTATATGTATATCAGCTATTTATTATTATTATAATTTCAATATTGCTCAGAGTCACTGTAATATTATATTTATACTTACATTTAAGAGTTTTATATTATTATTAGACATGATTATATTGATTATCAGATATGTAATATCTGTAAAAGTATAATTATATTCTTATATATCTGAGTGTCAGAACTCTCAGATCTTTCACTAATATTCTTTTATAAGATTTTATTCTCTTTATAAGATCTTATTACAGAGTCAGAATAACTGATAAGTAAGCTTCTATTTAAGAACTCAGTATTCACTTAACTGTGTTTTCTCTTTCTTACAAATTATTACACATTCAGATATCTCTTGATAAATAATCATTTCTGATAAGAAAATAATACATGAATAATTATTTTCTAATAAGAAGATGATAAATATTTTTATAGTGTAAGAGATCTACACTGAACAGATCAGTATTATATTAATAAATCTTATTTAACAAAGATAAAAATATTAGAGAAGAAAAGAAAGAGAAAGTGTGAGAATTAATAATCAAGATAAATATTTATATGCATATGTAGTGATGTACACAGTGAAGCTTTGAGATGGAAGAATATACATGTGTTTGTAGTGACTGAGAATCAGCAATTGAGAATGACTGAGAATCAGAGTGTACGCGTTCGTGGCGGCTGAGAATTGGTGATTAAGAATGGCCGAGAATCGGAGCATACGCGTTCAAGGATGAAGTGGTTGAAATCTGTGAAGTGTAACGGAATAGTCTATATAATTGATCAGGCGCAGCCCGCCACAAATATCACAGATTTAAAACATTGTTAATACAATTTATATCTTCTCTAAATAATAATAATGATTTTATAATATTTAATAAATAAACAAATCAGTCACATCACTGAATATGATACAGAATATTAAAATATGATAAAGTTTAATATATAAGATAACTGTTTAAGCTCTTTAATTGTATCAGATAATTGATTATTAAGTATAATACTCTGATTGAGAAAAGATTCAGATATTGAAACTTTCTGATATAAAGTGAACTTAGTTGAAATATATAATTGATTTACTGTTTTAGTTTTATAAGATAATAAAGACAGTCTTAATCACTTGTATATTAATGCTGCAGTCAGTCTGATAAGTGTATAACAGTTTATTTACTTATCTTAAGAAGTGATTAAATCACTTAAAAAGAAATTCAGTCTGAGATAATATTATAGTACAGACTATTATTACTGTAAGAAATAAACTGATATATTACTACAGTAAAACTGAATAATCTTTTACAGAGTACTATACTATAGCAGCTCTACTAGATCTCTCTTATTAAGTTAATATTTATACTTCTCAAGATTAAATAGAGAAGAAATAAGACTTATATATTAAATTAATCTAAGACTACTGTAATATCAACTATCAGAGATTTGAATAAGTAGATATTTAAGATGTAAAAACAGTGAAATACAATTCTCTAATAAGTAATAATCTTTGATAATACTTCATATTATATAGAACTATAATACTAACTTTGAAACAGAACTTATATACATTGATTACAACTGAAAATCAGATAAAACTATATACTTATAAAACTGAATTTAACTGCTATTTTCAAGATAATCTGATAAATTTATATATTAAATCAATTCTAGAGTTATAAAAAATTGTTAAGAGTATATATTTAACTATTACACTGATAATATATAATATTCTGATATTTTCATTGACAGAGATAAGAATGAAGTGAAAGTTTAACTTAAGTTAAGATATTTATCACTATTACTGAAGACAATTATAAGAAGAAATAATCAAGAAACTTATAATTATAAAGTATGAAATTATCAGATAGTTTAATATCTCTGATTACAGTATATCAGAGAAATATAGTTTTTATAAAAAAGTAAAGAATAAACTTATATAAGAATGTATTCAGTTATTTCATAAGTATTATTAATAATTATTATCAAATTCTAATTATATAAGCAATCACTGAATAAATTAAATAAGACTGATTTTAATCTTCAATCTCAGTCTTATTCTGATTTTGAAAGAATAATTATCTTTCACAGTTTATTCTGAGAAATTACTTTTATTTCACTATTCTTGAATTAAATCTGATCATTTTTCATGTCATTTCTCTCAGAAATAATTCATTTTCAGATTTTTTTAAGACTTGATTCTAGTGAAACTCATGCTAAGAAATGTATGAAATCAGATTAAATGAGATTAAATATGAAATTTATAATCTCAGTAATCAGTCTAGTCTCTGATAACTGAATAGATGTTTTAATAGTAAGATTAAGATATTAAATGACTAGATATAATTATAATTGAAAAATTAGTAAATTATTTTCATATTTAAAATTATAGTAGCAGTTTTTAATATAATACTTCATACTTAGAATATATATATTTTTAGATAAAAATTACATTAATTAACAGAAAATTGAAAAATTAATTCTTTAAAATAATAGAGAAATAATCTATAAGTGATATTATATAGTAATTCTATCTTAAATATTATAATTAAAGTAAATTATTTATATGTTACTAATAAATAGAAATTATTTTTTCTCAGATACTTTGTAAAGAGTTTGCTGAGAATGTTCTATTTAAATTTAGTGTAAGCTCTGTGACAGTTGATTGACTCAGATGTTGGCAGGACTTGACAGAAAGTAGCAGTAGTTCAGATTGAGTTAGCTTGGAGTGGAGTGGCTGAGTTTACTGAGATAAAACGGAGTACGGAGTACTCCGTACAGGTGGTTACATGGGGTGTGTGCATTTTTTCAACCAATCATATCACAGAATGGGCCTGCAAGATCGCAACCTTCTATTCTAATCAGGTTTTGAGAGCACCTAACATATTGCTTCGCTTCGCTCCGCAAACAAACAAGAAAGCCCCTTAAAAAGCCCCCCCACAAAAACAAAAAAAAATAAAAAAATAAACAAAAAAAAAAAAAAAAAAAAAAAAAAAAAAAAAAAAAAAAAAAAAAAAGCTAACAAAATTGTAACTTGTATACTTCGAACTTATTGAATGAAGAGGCCCTGGCAGACTTCGCTGACTTAATCTCCGCGTCATTATTAAAAACGAAGATCTTCTAACAGATCAAACTTCCCCGTCGAACTATAAAGAGAGTTACATGTATATAATATAAAACTGGAAAGGGAGAGCCGAGAATCGTAAAAGTTCCCGAACCGAAAACAAACACAAAGTGGGTCGCTTTAAAAAAAACATATAAAAAAACAAAAACAAATAGATTAAGAGATGAAAAACAAACTACCGAAATCAATAGGTGAAGAGCCTGTGAATGTGAAGAGTAGTGGTTCAGAATTGAGAGGAGAGGAAAAAAGAGAAAGTTAATAGGAGCATGCTGAGGAGAAGATTCAAGGTCGAGAAAAACTTAAAGCAATTGGAGTGACTCGGTGAGTATACATTTGATGAAAATAAGAAAGAAGTAACTATAGTTAGATAAATAAAGATGGGAAGGAAAAATAAAAAAAAAATACAAAAAAATAAAAGGGGAAAAAAAAAAGAAAAATCGTGAAAAGACATGAAACTCGCCCCAGACAGCCCGCTCGAAGGAATCGTTGAACATCATAATAGAAAAGAAGGATAATGTAAGAAAGGGTGAGAGAGAGAGGAAGCGTAATGAACAGGGTGGAATCGATTTATAAAAGAATAAAGTAAGGAAAAACAACGAAGGAAAATCTGGGAAGAAAACAAGAAAAACAACTAATTTAAGACTCTTGAAAATCAAGACTCCTCAAAGTCCACCTTCAGAACCGGATACAGATTCCCCCCATTTTCCGCCTTCTCCCTACTGGGCTCTGTGCTCCCTTGCCGTTGCCGCTCCTGTCGCCGTTCAGCCCTATGTCTTCCCATATCCCTATCTGAGTCGATAGACGCAGATGGCGAAGACGATGCCCTCCCTCCAAGCTCAATCCCTTCCATCCTCTCACTAACATCATGACTGTCCCTATTATTGTCGATCTCATTCGTAGTGACATTACTAGAACCAGTAGGATCATCCTCATACTCACCACGACTAAGTCGTTCATATATATACAGCCGTAGTTTCTCTAGGAGACGCACGTTGGCTACCCACTGCTCTACCGAGTGGCCCTGCGTTTCACTGCCGGTCGTAGCGTTTGCAACCGTAGCGGCGGCAGCTACAGTTCGGGAAGCTTCGTCGGCGTCCGGAGACGTGCTAGACGTGCTTTCGCGCTTTTGGCTACCACGTTCGGAGCTAGAGTCGTGATCTGACGGTGTCCCAGTTTTCGTTGTTGGTTGAAGTGCTGGGTCGATGACATTTGTAGAAAATTTAGCAGGTGCGGTATTAGAAGATGGGGAGAGGTACATTTGGGAAGACTCAGATACACAGTGCGGTTGGGATCGTTGGAGCATGCCACCTGTATATCGGCGACGGTCATCGTTTTCAAATACGCTGCTGAGAGTCGACGGCGGGCTGCACTTGAAATACTTGGATAAGCCGTGGTGGAGTTTTCCTGGGCTGTCGTGGCTGGAAGTGTTGGATACATTCGCGGCGCTTGATTGAGGATGGTGGGAAGGGGGAACAGTATGATGCGTCGAGGAAACGGAAATAGGAGAACGGCCAGAAGTATAGGACTGGGCACTGGACGGAGGGGTAAGAGCGGGTGTGCTACTATGTGAGGAACGGGTGGCAGTCGAGGATATCATCATAGGAGTAGATGTTGCAGCCGTCGCGTGGCTAGATGGGATATGTGTGGCAGATGGGGGTGAGCCGGTATTCCGGTAGCTCATCCCGCCGTGGATGTAATGGGCACCTGGCTGTGCGACTCCAGCAGCGGCAACGTGATCATCACTCTCGTAAACGGTCGACTGCATCTGTTCCAGGAACTGGTCAATGTTCATCAAGTCAGCCTTGGTGCGAAGGTTCCCCATTGGAGGCAAATGGTACGACTGGGCTGGCATTGGGCCGGGCTGGTAGCCGCCACCATGGCCGCCGACATTAACCATGGCTGGCATCGGCTGGTACTCAGGAACAGCACCGCCGTTAACCAGTGGAAGGGGCAGGCCATGCAAGTTTAATAGCCGCTGCCCAACCGCGGCGTAGGAGCTGGGGTCGAACTGACGGCGTTTCAAGTCACCGAAGAACTCATTCAAAGCATCGTATCCTCGTTTCTTCGATTCATAGGAGGCCTGATGCGACGCATCGCTGCCAACAGCATAGTAAACGTTTCCATACGACTGATTGGAAGGGTGTTGTGGGTGGGGATTTGGATAATATTGTGCAGCTCCGTGCGGATACGCTTGTCCGGGGACAGGTCCTAATGACCCCTCGAAATAATGGGCTGTCGCCAAAGTCATATTAGCACGATAAAGCAAAAGATACGGTTGCAAATTTAAATACGGTGAAAAGGTAGAGGAAGCTAACTTACATTTTCCGTCTGCGCCAACACCGACACCAAACATTCCATTTGGTGGTCTTGCTCCAGGGCCGGGTTCTGGGGATCTTACTAGGACAGAATCGTCCGCGTGGGTCTTTACATGTTTTTTCAAATCCTGTGGACGCTTGAAAGCCTTGCCGCAGAAATCACACTTGTGAGGTTTCAGGGGAACATGAACTCGAATGTGCGAGGTAATATGGTCGCGTTTGACGGTAGTCGTCCGGCAATTAGCCCATCCACAGGTTAGATTCAAGTTATTGGTACTCTTGCGGCCAACATGACGTTCACAGACGTGTTCCTAAGTTTTATGCGATACGTTAGCATAGTAGAAGGGTTCTCTTACCCACAACACAACACCTAAGGCAAGCAAATGTCATGTTATCAAAATCCATAAGCGCAGGCTGGCGCCAGAATAATCCAAGCAACTTGGATATCACGTGGATTACTGTGCCGAGACACCAAGAGACAGCACTCACATAGAGGGCTTCAGCTGTGGGAAGCCTGTCTTGGCAACCATGCCATTGGCATACTAAGTTCTCAGCAGCACCTTGCGTTGGGCCACTACTCAAATTCTGTGAAAGTGATACTGGGGTAACAACGGAAGCCGCCGCTGCGGCGGCAGCAGCTTGCTGCACCGCCGAGGGCGAGTTTAGCGGGGGATGGGAGGCCTGGGCAGGCGAGTGCTGAGCCTGTCCTGGAGGCGGCTGTTGTTGCTGAGGCGGACCTTGCTGCTGCTGCTGCGGGGGTTGTTGTTGTTGCTGATGCTGCTGACGCTGTGGTGGTTGTTGAGGTTGCTGTTGAGGGGACGGCTGTGGTTGTTGTGGCTGCTGCTGCTGCTGCTGCTGTTGTTGTTGGGCCATCGGGGCGGAAGAGTCTTGGTTTTCACGGGAGGACATGACTGCCAAGAAATTTTTCTTGTCAAAGCAAGTCTTGGGAGCGGAAAATGGGAACAACAAAACGCGAACTGATGCCCAGGACTGAAATATCAAAACGCAAAAGGCGTTGAGAGAAATTATCAAATACAAGGCGGATGAAGAAGAGGGATGAAGCAGAGGGATGTTACAAAGGAAGAAGTGGTGGGTTGATGTTTGTCGCGCAAGGGCGCGAGTAAAATAATAATAAAAAGAAAGGCTTTGCAACAGAAAATCGGACTCGAGGCGGGGGCAACAAAGTAATAAATGGGCTCGACGAAGTTTAAAAACAGAGGTAGTAGCCTACACGTGCGAAATGATATTGACAACAGAGTTATTCTTCTCCTCGTTGAAGCTATTTTCCCCTCTCGTGCCACTCAGAATGGAGTTCCGCCGTCACTCTGTATGACCAAAGAAAGAAAATACGACTGAATATCGACGGCTTGGTATATCGACGCTGCGAGAGGGAGCAAGTATCACAAGCTCGATCCCAAAAGAGCTCAGTCACCTTGTCTTAATAATGCTGTCGCAGTAAAAGGTGGCCTGTTCAGCGAAACTTAGGCAGCCGTTATTCAGTTCTACAGCAAAAAAGAAGGGAGGACAAAGAGTCTAAGAATTGGGGAGTTGGGCCTTGGGAATGGGAGGGTAATAATAAGAATAAGAGGAAAGAGGAAGGAAATCAAATGAGAAGGGAGTGAAACAGAAAAAGCCGCAGACACCAAGAAATGGTGGGCGGACAGGGACGTCCCGGCCAAGAAGAGAGGAAAGAGGAGGGGGGTTAAGGGAAGGCTTGGACAGGGCAAGACTTGGCACCTAGACAAGGGTGTATTACGTTCGTATTACGGGATGTTCAACAGCCCGCCAAAATACAAGTGCCACAGCCACACAAACCTTGTTTTTCTTGGGCTCTCATACACTGTGTTACGTCGCATTTTCATGTATTATTATTCGGATGCCAGGCAGGATGATGGTCGGAATCGCTTGGCTCCTAACATGCGCCTGCGGTTCTGTATTGAGCGCCAGGTTGCGAGCTGCATGAATCACTCCAGAATAACCAGCCCTATTGTTACCCTCGCGAACCTCCAAATTAGGAATTACGCAGCAAATAACACGTGCTAGCCATTCAAGTGACACAGATTGATCAAAAATTACATCGCAAAACAAGCCAAAAAGGTGGGGAAGCGAGGAAAGGGCGTGTAAGGTAAAATCAATAATACGAAGCATAAATTAATACGCCATCTGCCCCAGGGTTAAGCGGACGCCAAGAAAGCCAAGCGAGCCAAGGATACCCCGACAGCCAAGTCTAGCCAAGCCAACGCCCCAGCGGCAATTCTTCGTCCTCAAGAATCCCCGCCTCTCTTGGCTTCTTGGCATTTTGGCATTTGACATTTTGGCTCCTTCCCCCCGGCCCCCCAAAGCAGCCGCTGTTAAAAATACCACTCCCTTCTTTCCGACTACTACCGTCCCTCTGACAATATCCCAGGAGAATTTTAATTGTCACATCGGGTCGAATCCCACAACCGCAACTACGCCGCACGGTGCATCGCAAAGCTTAACCAGAAAAGCCGCCAAAAACTTAATTAGCATTGTGTGGAACTAATTATAATCTCGAACACATGGCGCATCCATGCCACAGTTACCAGTAACCATGCGGCGGTTCCGGTCATTTCCATCACCCAGACTCACATTACCACTGGGTGTTGACCAACAGCTTGGTTGGGCTAAACGCCAGCATCGCAAATGCACGGACAACGGAGCGAGGCTTGCTCTACACAGTAAGCGCGGCCAACAGGGGCGAGGATTATGTCCGCTGAGGCCTTCGCTCTTTCCCATCGTCAGGAAAAATACTCTGTAGAATAATAATAATAATAATAATAAATAGAGGTTCACTTCCTTGAGATTTCACCTTCTCCCGTGCGAGGTGGAAAGCAGGACATACTGTTCAATTGAAGCAAACTCCATAACTACCTAACTCGGCCTAGTAATTGATAATGCATCTTGGTTAGCTCCTCGGAATGTGCTTACAGACAAAGTCTGGGGATACCTGAAATACAATGCCGCCGCTCAGTCTCGAAGACCTGAAAACAGTTGTTTCTGCGCTGGCGCAGAAGCTTGATTCATTAAATATCGACTATGCCATCATGGGGTTGCTGCCACCTGTCTGTTGACTGCAGACCCGAGTTGAAGGAATGAACTTGTCATTCTGTTAACCACCCTATGACCACCTCTGACTGTTCTTACAACTCAGCTCCTCACATGCTTCCCGAACCAACTCGGGCACACCATTCCTGCATACAAACTGCACCGACCAGAAGGTACGTCGTCCAGTTGGAGAAGCTCGAAGTATTTGACTCCCAAATCTGGCCTTAACGTCCCAGTACAGCATTCGGGTCGCTACATGGAAGACGTCCAGTATCAGCGGTCGAGGGGTCAAACTCTTTAGCCCATCCTGCGTGAAAAGATTCTGTCCTAGTATGAGCACTAAGGTGGTGCTATAGAAGCAACCGATATTCGTGATCTCATGAATATGATCCCCTTGGCTGTGCCGGGGAGACCAGAGCTCGACTTGAATCAGAGCCAAGAGTTGCGAAATGAAAAGAGGCCAGCTTTGGCTCAGGCTCTAAAGGCTTTGAAAGATCAAATGCAGCACTATTTTCCAAAACTAGAACGCTTTTCTGCCATTCTCTTAAACCCAGTTATTGACCGAGCGATAGAGTTTCACGAAGGTAGAAGTTTCCAAAACCCTCCTTCAGCCAGTTGTCAAGTTCATATGGAGCTTGCCATCTGTGGTGGTCTTCTGGGACGCTACGGTGTGCTACGGATGTTACTGCAACCTGTTACCTGGGAACGCCAATGGGGTATGTGGTTATGACCGGACTCTGGGGGTGTTAGGTAGCCTTACTACTCCGTATACGTCTCGCAATTGATATGAATCGCTTTGCTGAAATATTTTCTGGCAAGAATAAAAATGTAGTTATAGCCGAATGAAAATCACCATGAAACAACATTTCCTCGCATAATATCCATTGGCAGCTCTTTGCCGGAGCCGAGGCGCTTTGAAATGCGCCGTTCAATGGGGCCAAAATTGGCCTCATGGATCCAAAGTTGGTACTGTACCATTCCACTACCTACTTATCCGAACAATGATCGAGATCATCATTCTCGAACCTCTACATATCCTCATCAGGGATACGCAGCACCTCAGTGTCTCGCCCCACACAGAAAAACCAGCATCCCTCTCTTCATCAATCGCGGCCCTAACAAAGCTTTCAGCCAGTGTCTGCACCAACAGGTAGTGTAAATTGTTGTAGACATCAAATTGCTCTGTTATCACTGTATATCAGTATATCATGTGTTGTTTGAAGGGCAGGAAATGTCTTTCTTCTAGAGCATGGTGTGCAAATGAATTTGGAAATAGATACACCTGCAAGCCTTTTTCCACTGGATCACCATTGTGGATCATCAAATACTGCACAAGACTGATCCAAGCATTTGTAGTTGGTGTTTATTCCCTTCAACATCTGTTGTGGGTCTGGATGCTCCTCTATAATGTCAGGAGGAGGGGGTGCGATTTGAAACACTTCGAGCGAATCCCGCGTTCACAAACTTTTCAATGACAGCTGTGTAGTCGTCGTCTTGCACCACAACCATGGGGGCCCACAGGGACAGGAAGATGGTCAGCAGGCATAAAGACGGGTTCATGGCTTTACTGTTAAATGCTTACCCCGATGCCTACAGGGACGCCCAGACACCACATTGCGAGCGTTCCCCAAGGAGTCATGTTGAAGTATCGAACAAAACCTCACTGAAACCCTGTCGGGCTCAGTCTGTCTCGGGCGCCTATACATACTGCGTAGCTGTAGTGGGAAATCCAAGTGTGTCTGGTCTGTCTCAAGCCGGTGCGACGTTTCCACCATAACAACACAAAAAAGACATGATGACCAAGGAAGACTCTTGCGATCGTCTTTCTCGCTCTTGGGATGGCGCTACGGAATTAAAAGCGCGGTTGTCGGTTGGTGGGTGTCGACAGCGCAAGATCGCAACCGCCGACGGATGGTTTACTGCGTACGCTGCTGCTTTGTTGTTGGCATCACGTGGACTGGTCGGAACCGCATTTGAGGCAGAGCATAAGGAGGCAGATGAGACAACCACCTGCGATGCCCACGCTTCATCACTCAGAATTACCAGGACCATTAGGACGATTAATTCCCTGAGGTGGCCATAGTGTTGTTCTTGCTTTAATTCTGTGATATCTCTTCTTGCCCTTTCAGTGCCGCAATTAGCCCTCGAGGTTCCCGCGCTTACGTCGTCGACGATCGCATCCCCGCTGTTTCAGCTCCGGCTTTGCTTCTCTGGGGAAATGTATGTGTTCACGTTGAGCTCTCATGGTTGTTAATATTTTGCCTATATACCATTACCATACTGCGGATATTTTGCTAATTTTTGTGTAGCCGTTTTGCATCTTGATAGCTTGCCCCTCTGGAACATCACGATCAGTTTTTCCCCACCATTCGATACATTTTCCCAACTTCCTCATTTTTTCGTTAAGAGAAATTGTATTGGCCTGTGCTGCCGACATTCTTCATTCATTTTAAGCGATCGAGACTAGGAAAGTCACTCGTTAACCATTTCAACGCCCGGCCTGCGCGGATCCGCGCAACATTCGACAACCTGTCGGCGCTTCCCCTCGCCTTCCCTAGAGAAACCCCCTAAAAATTGGCTTCATCTTCGCTCATATAACACACCGCAACTCTCGGACCGTTTAATGCATGAGATACCAACAAAGTTTCCTACTGTTGCCAATCATGACTCCGTCGCGTCGAACCTTTTAGGTACATAATCAATTAAGTCAGAGAAGGCATTGTGGGCCGCATCATGGATGGTCAACGGCAACAGTACATACCAGCGCCGCCGCCTCACATCTCACAGTCTAGTGCAGCGACGCATATGATGCCATTCCCTCCACCCCCCCCTCGCATGCCCCACTCAGGACACGGTCTTGTCCCTCCACCTCCTCCCGGTCCCCCACCAGGTACAACCTATACAGTACAGCCGGGATGGCAACAAGGATGGGCGAGGCATCAAGCAATGGCTCAACAATTTCCCCCGCCCCCTCCCCCTTTACTTTCTTCCAACCAATCTCAAAACCCCTATTTAGCGTACAGTGCTACACGTTCTCGCCATCAGCCGGCCCCTTTATCCATTCCTTCTCGATCAATAGGTAGTGAGACACACCCTCTCACATCCGCGACGTATATTCCAGGGGGCGAATCGTTTGGCCCTGGAGTTGGGATTCCTCCGCTCTTCACCCACGATCCACAAGAGGCGTATGGGCGTCCAGAGCAATACGGATATCCTATTGAGACGGAAAGCGCAAGGCACGTTTCTAATCCAACATATCATGATGGAACTCTACAGAGTACTGCAGGGAATCGGTCACATCAATTAAACCTTCCGTTGCGCGACCACCAGGATCCCCTTTCTCCAGGGCCACCAACCGCCACTTTACATAACCCGCAACGCGACAATTCTGGCCAGACAAAAAATGAATATTCAGTCGGCGGCATGACGGTCCAGGAAGCCGATGAAAGATGGCCTCTCGATCGTGTACTACTGTGGCTTGCACAAAATGGATTTTCCAACGATTGGCAGGAGACCTTTCGGGCGTTAGACCTGTACGGCGCTAGTTTCGTGGAACTGGGCAATCGTTCAGATGGTAGAAGCCACCTAAGTAAGATGCACAAAGTGGTATATCCTCAGCTTGCCAAGGAATGCATAAAGAGCGGCACTGGGTGGGATAAGACAAGGGAACGAGAGGAGGGAAAGAGGATGCGGAATTTAATTAAGAAAATTGCTGATCAAGGAAGTTCGGAATCTGCGAGCCTGGGTACTAGATACTATGACAGTCAAATGCTACCCAGTGCATCCACGGACGATGGGTTAGAAAATTCGCCTAATTTAGGACGGGATTCATTCCCAAGCTACAGTTCTGGAACCGCTGAAAGCAGCCCAGGTCAGCAATATGCAGCTAGAGCAACACCCAATTCGGCTCAAAAACAGTACTCTGGCCAACGTCCTGAATTACCGATTCAGGACTCTCGTTCGGACTTTTCTCGAAGCGTTTTTGGAATGCTGGATGGGCGGCGAGGGCATAGCCCCTCTGCGTCAAGCGACAATGGCATACCGCTGACTTCAGAAGATAATCCTCAGAGCGGAAGTCCTGCACAACATTTTGTCACGATGGCGCACCAAGAATATGTCCCATTCTCCGGAGAAGCCAATGGAAGATGTGATAAGCGCCATAGTTCTGACTCCATGATGAGCCGAGGTTTCTCATCCCAAGGCTTCCTTGGTGGCCAAGGAGCTTGTAGACAAAATGATCCCAAGAAAAATGGGCAAGGACCATCACCACAAGAACAAGGAACACGCCAAGGACTGGGTGAATCATTGCCTAAGGAACACGGCAAAGGATTTTTTCATAAATTGAAATGGAAGAAGGGCACCGATTCGATGCATCCATCTCCAGAGGAAATATATGCAGATTCGCCTACGAGTCCAGTGGGCACACGTAACCCACCGCCAACTTCTGTGTTTATGAAACCAGGGTTCAATGGCAGCGATATGTCCTTGAGTGAACGACCGTGTTCTTCCGTTTCTGATTATGATAAGGTCCAATCACGGCCTCGAAAAGCCACAAACAACATGCCCCAGAGACGATTCGCCTTGGCTACTCCTGATGGATGGAATTACTGATTGATAGATCTAACGGATGTGGATGCTGCGGACACACTACGAGCTACCATTTGTAATAGCCTAGGGATCAAAGACCCTGGAAGTGCTTTGATCTATCTTACGGAACCTGGTCAAATCACCCACGAGGAGCCGCTTAGTGATACGATGTTGGTCGTGAATCGCAGGACAAAATCAGATGCCCAAGGCACTTTGAAATTTTTCGTTCACCTCGCTAATCTATCTGCGGCGTCTGCACCGGTGACCCAGCCAACTGGTTTGGGTCTTTCTTTGGCTGAGCGCATCCGTTTATCTCGGAATATGGCGGACGATGAGGCTCGGCACTATATGGGAGCTACATCGCCCTCTCATAGATCCCAGCCGGGGATGAAGCTTAATACTACCAAATCCTTCCCTTATGACCAGTTCCAATCTCAATCTCGACCTTCATTTGGTGATAAAGGCCAGGCTAGCGAGATAGATATGGAAGGTAGAGAAGCATCAATATTATCAGCGCATGAAGAATACCGACGAGAAGCCGAACGAAAGCAGAAAATTTATCTACAATCAAGACAAGAAAATCAGCAGTATAAAGATTCGCCTAAGGTGTCTATAAGGCGTGATGGTGTAATAGATTTTGATTCCCCTCGACTTTCTCCATATGAAGATAAAAAAACAGATAACCTAGTTCCATTACGAAAACCCCCATCGGCACCGTCGGAGTCGAGCACGCTTTCTAAGGTCAATTCTTTGAGCAGAAAACCTGGCGACCGCCCTATCAGAGGTCATGATAGCACTGATCGTGCGAAGCGCAGCTCTGCTGAACAGATATCTGAAGAACGTGGAGAAAAACCGTGGACATCAACTGCCAGTACAGCCTCACCTGGATTAAGTGATGGGCTTGGAGCAGCCTTGGCCGGAATTGGAAAAGTCTCTAGTGCTATTGGGAAACCTTTCGCCAGCCAAGCTGCCGCCTCTGGCCGCTCCCCACTCTCTGCATCTGAGCCTGTTTCCGGAAAGGGTCGTTCAATGCAGTCTGTCGATTTCAACAGTGGTGATGGGCGCCGAACCACTCCTTCATCTTCCCCCAAAGTACCCTTTTTCAGCCGTGGAAAGGGCAATACCACTTTTACAGTGCCTCAGTATGATGCGGAAGGGCGTACGAAACATCCTGAAGACATGAAGAAGCCTCTACCTGCCACAGGCCTTGATGGTTCTTCTTCCGTTAGTCCGGCGAAAGTCAACACTCATTCGGCAGAGAAGAGGAAGTCAATTGGTCCGGATTTCGATTTCCAGGAAACCGAAGTGTCTTTCGCGAAAGCCCAAGCGCCTGAAGATGATTCGGATGAGGATTCGGATGAGGGTCTATTTGCGATACCATTAGCTAGTGCGAAGGGCGGGGCGCAGTCAAAGACAGTTAAAGCACCGACGAACAACCGCGGAGGTAGCCAAGGTCGGTCTACAAAACCTGCTCTCACTGTCAATACCGGTTCGCGAGGAACCAAAGGGATGTCTGTAAGCTTCAAATCTCCGAGTCCTGGAGAAACATCCAATACGCCGTCCACTCGAAGCACAGTCAACGAACAAGGTGTGGAGAATGAAGGGTTCAACCCTGAGAATGGCTCGTCAGATTCACCAGAGGCCTCTTGGTTCAACCGTCGCGAATCATTTGTCCGAGATGACATCTGGGCAAGTAGGCCTCCTGTGGAGGGTATGATAGAACATTTAGATGACTACTTCCCCGATGTCGATCTTGATGAACCGTATGTGGAAGGCAGCGTGATGTCACCGCCGATGTCGCCGACTCGCCCTGGACCTACCATCGGCTCAGAGCCTGACAATCAGGCGTTGCGAAGCACAGCTACGCACAGCACCCTCGATTCTATAATGGCTCAGGATAGCACAGACACCCTGGGTTCAGATGAGTCCACCTTGAAGGCAAAGAGCACAATTAATAGCGTTGCACAACGGAATATTACTCGATCCCAAGGTGGTGGACTAACCCGCATGAAATCGATTCGTGAAGTTGCAAAGGGTGCCCACCAAATTCATAGAAACCAAAGCATAACTGCTTCCAATGCTAAATCAGGCGCACTTCTTCGACGCAAGAGTACCAAGATGTTTGGTGCGAAGATTCTGCAGGTCAAACCTGGAAGTCGACTGAGCGAGCATCCAGTTCCGCTCCCACCCCACTCGGGATCTCAAAATAAGCTGCCTCAGAGACAAGCCACTTTCCGTATCATTCGAGGTCAACTTATCGGCAAAGGAACGTATGGTAGGGTCTATCTTGGTATCAATGCAGATAACGGAGAGATCTTGGCAGTAAAACAAGTTGAAGTGAGCCAAAAAGCTGCCGGTTATGACAAAGATAAAATGAAAGAGATGGTTTCTGCACTCAATCAAGAAATAGATACTATGCAGCATCTCGAACACCCTAATATTGTTCAGTATCTTGGATGCGAGCGCGGCGAGTTGTCGATTTCCATCTATCTCGAATATATCCCGGGTGGATCTATCGGGAGTTGTCTTCGCAAGCACGGCAAGTTCGAAGAAAGTGTCGTCAAGTCTCTCACGCGCCAGGTCTTGAGCGGGCTGGCATACCTTCATGACCAAGGCATTCTTCATCGAGACCTTAAAGCCGACAATATCCTTCTCGACCTCGACGGCACCTGCAAAATTTCCGACTTCGGCATATCAAAGAAAACAGACAATATTTATGGGAATGACGTTACTAATTCGATGCAAGGCTCGGTATTCTGGATGGCGCCAGAAGTTGTACAATCACAAGGTCAAGGCTATAGTGCAAAGGTGGACATTTGGTCGCTTGGCTGTGTCGTCCTGGAGATGTTCGCGGGCCGGCGGCCTTGGAGTAAAGAAGAGGCGATCGGAGCTATTTTCAAGCTTGGAAGTTTGAACCAGGCCCCTCCAATCCCTGACGATGTGTCTATGGAAATCACACCGGAAGCACTTGCTTTCATGTATGATTGCTTCACTATGTAAGTCTCCTTTTGTCTTTTGCCTCCTTTCTCTTGTAAAGATTGTTTTTTTTTTTTTTTTTTTTTTTTTTTTTTTTTCCCTTTCGCCGGACGCCTCTCATTTCAGCGAGTACGGACACTGATGATGGCCACTTCACTTTATTAAATTTTTTTAGTGACACTTTCGAACGCCCGACTGCGGAAACTTTGCTCTTCCAACATCCTTTCTGCAAGGCTGACCCGCATTACAACTTCCTGGATACCGAGCTGCATGCGAAGATTCGACATGTTCTCTAGACAACTAACCGTTCACATATTTTACACACAAACACAAACATATATATATACCTATATATATTCAGTAAGCTATGTTTCGGTTATTCTCGTAATTATTATTCACTCTCTGCAGGCTGTTCTGACAATGTGATATTTACTTCTGCTCATCTTCGCCTCCATTTGTTCGTTGAGTTTTTGTTATGTCCTCTATGTTCTTTTCTACTACTATATTTTTGACTTTACTTTTTGGCTTTGAATTGAAGGACATGGATGATGGTGTGTTCGGTTAATTCTTGGGGAAGGGTTATATATGGTATCTGACGCCTGGAGCTCTTGGATACTGGTGTTATTTTTGGCTGAAAACAACGAACTGTTCTTGTGGCTAGTCTATGGTAGCGTTTCGCGATAGGGAGATTATTCGGAACCACAATATATATTATCAGACGTACTAATCTTAAGTAACATATTTACTTTACGGAAGGTTAGGCTTTCATCTACTAAATATATATAATCCCACAAGAAGTGAAAGCTAATACTGAATGATATGCAAATAGTTAGACCACTAGGTATATTAAACCCATTTTCCAATGGTAAGCAGGAAGCGGGCATGTAGAATTTCTTATCATCGATATACCACAGAGTGGCGACAATAATGAGTTATCATAAACTTCCATTCCTGCTGGCCCTTTGTCGTTCGCTGGGCGACACATCATCACTGCCCCGCCTCACATCACCATCCTCCACACTCAGCGCCGCGGCTGCGACCTCTGAGGAGTCGAGCCCAGCAACACCAACGCGGAAAACAGCCTCACTCCACCCCGCAAATGTATCCACATCCCACACACCGTCTTCCTGAGCCATTCGACCCTTCTCCATGGATGAAAGTTTACTGTGATGGACTCCCTGTTTCCCTCCTTCAAGCGTCAATGTATAGCCATCGAAGAAGTCCTCGTAGGCCTGAATGACAGAGTCTTGCACTGCGCCAACAAGCGTTTCTTTCGTCCTCGTGTCATCAAGATATTCACCGAGAATTTGTCGCAGGTTTGGAACTTCTTTCTCGATCGCTTTGCACGTAAGACGTAGGGCGTTACTATACGGTTCGCTTCGGTTTGTAGATTTCGCCAAAGAGGCCAGAGGTTGGGTCATTTTCGACTTGAAGGAATTAGTGAAGTCGTTAATTACTGTGCGCAATCTGCCGTCTAGTTCCACTTTTGCGTCGAGCATGTTTTCTACGACACGGGGAAGTAGGCCGCCGCCAAGTAGCCGCATGAGGTTTCGTGGGTTGAAGAGTCCGCCACGTTCCCGGAGTTCCCAGAACGTGTTCGTCACGCTGGAGAAGTCGATAGAGATGTCGGGGCTGACGAATTCGATGTCAAAGGCGACAATTTGTTGTTTGAGTAGGAGGAGATGTTTAATAAGGAATAACTGGGCGTCTGTAGGAGAAGTTTTTGTAGAAATTTGAGTGCTTGCTGCATGGAGGGAGAGGGTGGTTTGGTGAACGATTTGATGTGCTAGGTCGTCAAAAACGGTTGACTGGGATAAATAACTTGGTCAGGATGCAAGGTACAGCGTAGGGGAAACGGTTTATTTGAATTGTTCAACGTACGTTCACTAGTCGATAGATGCGACTAAGCAGCCAGACCGCCGTCCGCAAAGTTGGGTACCATCCTTCAAATACGGCTCCCGAATCAAAGTCCCATCGCGGATACTTTTCTTGGGGTGAATCGGTATCCTCGTCGACGACCATTGGCATCTTCGGGAGTGGGGTGGTCGGTTCAATAGACGATGATCTCCTGTGTGATACTGCGTGAGACTTGTTATTCTCTGACCCCGGTAATAGAACGTTTCGATTGCGAGCAGGGTAATCAAGATCTTCGGCGCGTGGTTTATATTTCTCAATCTCATCTCGCAATATTGCCTGCGCACGAAAGACGAGTCGGGTTTGCGCGTCCTCCAGCGCAGGTTGAATTAAGACGGAAAAGTCAAGTTGAGTCGGGTCAGCGAACTCTCCCTCATCCTCGGGATCGGACAAATAACGCGTTTGCAGGAGTGAGCAGAGCTGGCACAATTTGATAAGTTTGGTTTCACGAATAATCCTCGGTCTCAAATGATCGTAGAGGGGCTCGCAGACAGCCTCCAGGAAATCGTAAAGGCCTTGCTGACCATGAAACCATTGTCCCCATAGCTCAAACTCATCGAGACAAATGCCACGAATATAGCTGATGCTGGCCCGAGCAAATGCGACTAGGTCCTTTGAGCTGCTGGGGGCCTGGGAAATATCGTTCAACCTCTTCCGTAATACAGGTATAACAAGCTTGCCCCTCGTAGCTGAAAAGCTAGTATGGAGCTCGTTAAGTAAACTTTGGTATTCAGCTTCAGCTCCTTGTTCAGGGTCAACTGGCGGGACTGCTCGCTTTTGTATTTCTAATCCGATTGCCTTTAAGTCCGCCGCACCGACACGAAATTTTGCATAAAGAAGAGCCGACATAGTTGTGTCGTTGAGCTGTCGGTCGGCGATTCTTTTTGCAACCCCTGAAGATATCTCCCGTAGGGTGGACACGAAATGACCACGAATTAACGTGAGGGCACGGGTTAAAAGAAGACGGTAGCGAGACCTATAGGTATCTGATTCTTTTTGTTCGGGCTTCTAGGATTAGTACCATCGTAAAACGAAGAAGAAATTGGACAGACACCCACATGAGTCTGCATATAATCCAAGCACTCATCCAGCCTCTTCAACATGTCTGAGAAATCCTTTGTTCGCACGGAATTTCCTGCTCCCGGCGCATTGAGTCTCCGCGAAATGGGGTCCAAAAAGTCATAGTACTGTATATTCTCATGGATATCTTCCACCAATTTCGAACTGCGCATCTGTGCCGACAATAGGCCCTCGCATTGCTGCTGGAAGGCGGCCGTTTGGGCCTCCACGGACTGGAAGCATTCAGAGAGACTGGATAGGATATCCAGCGTAGAGGTAGTATCGGTTAAAAGAGAATCGAGATGCGATTTGGCAGTTTGCAGTTCATCAAGACATGATCTGTCCAAGAGAATAATTATTAACTCTGTCGTCATCACAAAACAGGAAAATAGGGAAGGCTGGTTTTCTATACTGATATTCTTCGTAGCTGGCCTCCAGCAGGTCATTCTCAATGGAGCTATACCAGCGGGCGAATTCAGCATCATTCTCAACCTCTTTCACGGAGGCCCCCAGCACATCGCCCGCTCCCATGGCAGCGGGTGAAGCTGGGGCGCCAGGATGCCGGTGTTGATTGTCAGGTTGAAACGTCATAGTGAAGCATAATTATTTGATTGCCGGCCGGGCTAGCACATTGCTGCTCCACTGCCGTAGTTTAGACAGCTTCTACAAGTTAAGAAGCCTGTAGGATCGTGGAGGAATGCGGAGTATATTAGCTGCCTGGTGAACTGAACACCAAGCTGCCAAGTTCCCATGAACTTGGTTTCCTCAATATGATGGTTCGTGATTCTGCCGGCGCGGGCCGCCAGCACTAAGTCAAATTAGGTAAGCTATGTCCCGCGTCGCAATCCCCGGACTCCACGATTTGCATCCGGTTATCGCAAAGCCCATAAAACCCCGGTCATCACTCGATGGATGGGGAAGCATCCGGAAAACACGCATAATGTCGTTTACTCGAGGGAGTAAGCGACTTGCCTCGCAGCGCTTTTCGGCCCTGTCTAAAAGATCGCCTCTTTTTGCCCCACGATTACGCCCTTACTCTACCGCCGGGCCTCTGCAGTCCCAGAAAGAGCCTCGGGTGCCACCACGTATTCGTTCTTACATTGCCGTGGCAGGGTTGACGGCTGTTATATCCTTTGGATATTACTACATCAGGGATAGACCGGGAAGTCTTGGAGAAAAATCGCGGTATCTACAACCAGAACTCATTGTGCAGGAGGCCAAGACCAGGCAGAATCTATCAGCGGAGGAAAACCGGGAGTCACTAAGCCCCCAGCATGTCCAGGTGAAGAGGAGTTGGGAGCGGCCAGGGCTGTATGCATGGGGTTCGAATACAGGGTTAGTCGCAAACCCGGACTCTAATGAATTCGTCGTGAAGACCCCAAGAAGAATACCATACTTCGATGGTATGGTTCTTCGTGATGTTAAGCTTGATCAGAATTTTGGTGCCGCCATTACGGAAAACGGAGATTTGATCCAATGGGGCAAAGGCTATTCGAAAACAGATTACAAACCAACGAAGACACTCAAGGGCAAAAATCTCGTGTCACTTTGTATTTCGTCAAACAGGATCATTGCGCTATCCTCCGGCGGAAACGTTTATTCACTCCCCGTATCAAAATCCGATCAAGAGAATGGGTTGAAACCTTCCGAAAACTCCTGGATTCCATTCTGGCGAACGCGCGCTGAATTGAGTTATCGCCCTCTGCAACCCCAGCTTGGGTTGGGCGAAAAGGTTACCGCGATCTGTGGCGGCCTCGAACATGTACTTTTATTAACGACTTCTGGACGTATATTTTCTGCTGCTATCGGCACGGAACATTTTCCTTCCCGCGGTCAACTCGGAATTCCTGGCCTGACGTGGAACAATCGGCCTAAGGGACCATATGACTTGTGTCATGAAGTTAGCGAGTTGCGCGGGGTCCGGATTACAAATATCGCAGCTGGAGATTACCATTCTCTGGCGCTTGATAAAGCTGGACAAGTCTTCGTGTTCGGCGACAATGCTTCGGGTCAGCTAGGGCTACAAACCAATGTCGCCTCTTCTTCCATTGATACCCCAACAATGCTTCCTCTCGGCAATCTCTACCCCGCCGATGGCTATGAAGTTAAAGCATCAAGTATTGCTGCCGGAGGCACAAACAGCTTTTTCACCGTCAGCGCCAAAAGGATACTTAGCCCGATGGAAGTTCGGACCACCGTTAGGGACCTTGGCCGAGTCACAACGGATGTCTGGAGCTGCGGGAAAGGGTTGTTTGGTGCCCTTGGGACTGGGAAGTGGACTCATGCCCAAGACAAACCTACAAAAATAAAGACTCTTAGTGGCTTGTTTGAGTACAGCGATACCGCGCAAAAGGTTGTCCCCATAGGGATAAGCCGTATTTCTGTCGGAGCAACCCATGCCGCTGCTGTACTGGGAAACTTAACCAATGTTTCTGCTTCGAAGGACGGCCCCCAAACAGACACCAATTGGGGCTCAGACGTTTTCTGGTGGGGTGGGAATGAATTCTATCAATTAGGCACGGGGAAGAGAAATAATGTTGCGTCCCCCACGCACATCCGCCCTCCTGCCGATGTTGTTCCCCGCGAACATCAGCGAGAGGACAGTAGACTCCAAATTACGCCTCGCCGCACTGTTCAATTGGATGGGAGAACAGTGAGCCTGGAGCAGCGAGTCGAGTGCGGGAGATATGTCACTGCAGTGTATTCTGGTGTTTGATCAACTTTAATTGCTGTTGTGCTATGAAGCGAAATTTATCCTGTAATATATTGTCTGTACAGACCCCGATATGAGATATGAGAGGTAGGTTAGCTAATTTAACTCTATTCAATCACTATGTTTTTGCGATAGTACATGTATTTACTCCGAGTTGATATTCTGAAGCCCTTTCATCACATAGGTCTGATCTTGTTGAGCTTACCCTTTTCCCGCTTGATTTGATCTCATGTTTGCATTGTTAGTGTAGGCTGCTGGGGCAAAAGAGCTCGATCACCACCAGCGCACTGCTGGTAGAAGGGCCGACCAACCGCGGGACCCCCAACAGTTAGTACAGGTTATGAGACCGTTAAGCGTGAGCCCCGCTGTGGTCAACATGCATGGGTTCGATCCCAGAATGGACTTAAAAATTCCTAACAAATACCCTGGACATTTTAACAGTGCCAAGAGACATCCCAGGAGTGTGCCCTAGAAGTCCCGTGAGCCCTAGGACTGACTGAGTCCATTATTAAAAAGGAGCCATTGTGGGGAGACCACTGAAGGGAGCCACTGAGGGGAAGTACTGTACTCTGTGGTAGCTGGTCCGAGGGGGGGTGTTGGGGGTCCCGCGGTTGGTCGGCCCTTCTACCAGCAGTGCGCTGGTGGTGATCGAGCTCTTTTGCCCCAGTAGCCTACAGTTAGTTCCTATGATAACGTAAGCTACTAAGGGGCGCTTGGACGAACCACCACTAGGGAAAAAATTACTCGTGGGTGAAATCCTGGAAAGGTACGCGGGATTTTTTTCTGTTTATCCGCACAGTTACTCTTGTTCTTTTTTTTTTTTATCTTTGTATTTGGTTAATTCGAATCCTACAAGAGCGTGGGCTTTACCATGCCTCGAGAAAGGCAAAAACGAGGCCGGAGAGCGGAGGCCAAACGAAAGCGCGATGATGAAGTAGGAGACCGCACAGCGCCAAAACGACAGAAAGCCTCGGAAGGCGACAATGACTTTAATCCTTTGCATAGCCAAGCAAAAATTGGAGATGACTATATTCCACTTGAGGAGGAGCCGGCGAGCTCCATGGACACGCCATTCTACGGCCTTCTCGACCCGGACGAACAGGAATACTTCTCCCACGCAAGTGGGCTCCTCGAACTTAACCAGTTTGAGACCGAGGAAGAAAAGAGCATTTTCATAGAAAGAGTTTATGAGGAGGCCGACGGGAAGGAATTAAAAATTGCCTGCAGCCAGTCATGTTCGAGGTTAATGGAAAAATTAATATCGGCCTCTACTGTTAGTCAGATAAAATCCTTGTTTAACAAATTTGTCGGCCAATTCCTCAATCTCGTCCAACATCGATTCGCGAGCCACTGTTGCGAGAGCTTGTTCCTTCGAGCTGCACCATATGTGACGCTGGAAATGAAGAAAAAATCTGCCGAGAAGAACGACAATGAGGGCGAAGATTCAAGCGCGAATTTACGACTCGAGGATTTATTCCTGGCTGTACTTTCTGAGCTGGAGGGAAACTGGGGCTATTTGTTAACCGAAAGGTTCGCATCGCATACAATAAGGGTACTTCTGTTGATACTAGCTGGCGAGCAACTAGACAACCCGTCTAAAGCAACCGTCATCGCGAGTCGCAAAAAGGAGAACTTGGATAAACCCAAAGTGACACAACGCGATAAGTCGGCGTCAGATAGGCGAGCTGTTCCGCCCTCATTCAACGCTGCCTTGGAGAAAATGATGAATGATTTGGTTACTGGACTTGATAATACCTATCTACGAGCACTGGCGACCCATCCTGTTGGAAATCCCGTTCTACAGGTCCTCCTCTCAGTCGAGCTCACCCATTTGGGGAAATCAAAAGCTAGGGATCCAGACTCGGTTTTTCGAAGACTTGTCCCGGATGAGAACCTGGAAGAGGGCAGTGAGAGTGCGGCATTCATAAAGGGCCTCTTTTATGACCCCGTTGGTTCGCGGTTATTGGAAACAATGGTACAATTAGCTCCGGGAAAGTTTTTCAAGACATTCTACAAGGCCCTTGTGCAGGAACGCATTGGATCGCTATCAAGGAACGAAATCGCAGGACATGTAGTAGCTCGGATTTTGGAAAGACTGAGCAAAGAAGATCTGAAGAGCTCCATGGACTTGATTTTGCCGGAAGTTCTGTCCTTGGTGAAACGCTCAAGGTTTACCGTTATTAAAACGTTGATTGAGCGAGGGGTCATCCGTGGTGTAGACCTAAGGCCGCTAGCAGATTCTCTTTTGTTGGCCTTTGGCACAGACCCTATCGCAAGGATTAATAACGTCCTAAAACTCCATCACCTCAACGAAGAAAACGACGATACAAAGCGGTCCTCTAAAAACTCGACTCCAGAACAGTTACATGGTTCTCTTCTTGCCCAGACCATGCTTAAGGCTCCCGGGCCCCTCAGCGAACTAATACAATCAAGTCTTCTCGCAGTTACGCTGGAGACTTTAATAGCAATTGCTAAGGACCCAGTTGCATCCCACGTCCTTCAGGACGCATTAACGCTCCCAACTTCTACTATTCAGTTCCGCCGTCAAATAACCTCGAGATTTTCAGGAAAGATGGCTGAACTCGCTCTGGATTCGAGCGGATCGCATGTTGTCGATGCTGTCTGGTCGGCGACGGAGAATTTAATTTTTATCAAACAGCGATTCGCCGAAGAGCTCCTGGCAAACGAACGACCCCTTCGTGACTCATTTGTCGGACGAGCTGTATGGAAGAATTGGTCAATGGATTTATACAAAAGGAGGAGAGGCCACTGGATTGCAGTAGCTAAAGGCCTAGAGAGCGTAAATCCGAGTAACTCCGAGAACCGACAGCCTCCGAAATCAAACCTTGATTTAGCGAGAGCTCGATTTGCTGAAAAGTCAAACACCAGCACACCGAAAAAGATAACTGCAACGTTCTAAAAAACCCGAGAAAAATGTTACTCCGGACTGCAGTCACGTGTCCAATATTCTAGATAAGTATGACATCACTTTGAGCCAATGGGTTCAACTTGAGTTCTGCCTAGAAGATATAGAAAATGAAAATCTCATTCGCTAACCATGGTAACCAGTTACAAATCATCTACGCAGTAGTTGCCCGGTTATACGCAGAAGGGCCTGTTCTGGTGCATTGCATGGTGCAGTACATGTATGTACAATACATGTATGTACAGTACAGAGTACATGTAGAGAGGATTAAAGTTTTGATTAGTGCTAAGAATTTAAGCTGTAATACTGTTGTTATCTTTTCATTCTCAAGCCCCTGGAATTTTACACTAGCTTTAGTTAAGCTGTAGCTGGTTATTCAGGTGCCAGAGACATTAATCTCTCTTAAAACTCTGATTAAAAGAGGGGATGAAAATACTTTATAGTAATAAAGTTACACCTTAAATTCTCTGTACACAGTCAGTGACAGTCACATATTTCAGTCAAAAATACACATATTCAGTAAAATATACATTAATTCAATAATTGTAAATAAAAATACAGATAATATAAAAATAATTAGATAATTAAAATTTGATTTTTCTAGTATTTTTAATATTAATTAAAGTGAAAAGTGAAACTTTTTAATTAAGTAAAATAAAAAATAACTTTATTATACTTTTAATATAAAACTTTATTAATAAGAATAAACTGTTTAAAGTTTATTTAATATACAGTGTAATATTTCTTTTATATACAGTTAATTTAATTTATATACTTATTCAGAAAATATATTTATTTTAATTAATTAATAAATAAATTAAAGAATATTTTTTATTTGATTTATTTTTTATAAGTACTGACTGTAACTACTGTTAAAACTTCATTTAAAGAAAAAAAGTAATATTTACTTATTTTATAAAATATATTAAATAGATTTAATAGTTAGTTTATTCTTTTTTAAATGAAGTTTTTAACTGTTTAAAAAGAATAAATAAAATAGAGCTACTTTTTATTTTATTTAATTTAAAGAGTGTTACTTTTCACTCTTAATTAATACTAAAAAAAATATGAGAAAAATCAAATCTTGATTATTCATTTATTTATAGTATTTTTTGCTGAATAAATCTGGGATCATAAAAATAATAAGTATCACAAGGTACGCTGCGTAAGTGTCAGCTATCTATTAAGCGCAATCTTTTTGAAGAATGTGTTCAATATCTAAGTTCATGAATGTAGTGATAGCTTATTTCTAATTGCAAATTTGAACATGCTTACAAGACAGGTTCGGAAAAACTTACACAAGAGGATATGAATCAACTCATGGCATGATTGAATAAATGATTTTTTTCTAACCATGTTCAACTCCCCGGTTCAACTTTAGTGCGGCAAAATTATCATGCCGGACTCGTTGTCCATCGATTTTTCATAGTCAAACCTTGTTATTGTTTTGCCGGCTATTTATTGTCCCAACTACCCCACAAGATGGAGGCTAGAATTGATAGATACGCCGTTTTGCAAAACTCACCTACAATATGTCTTCGAATAACCCTCCAGCGACTCCAGGGAATCAATGCCTAGAGCAAAGTGAGGAAGTACGAAATGTAAGTGAAGCAAGCCGCCTTATCATCAATAATAGACAAACCCGATCCTCCTCTCTGAGCCGAATCATATTCGGCGTTAAGTCATATTGTAAAGCAGTTAACTGATCGCTGTTAAATGCTTCTAATGTAGTTACTAAGTGCTGTCCAAGAGCGCCTCATAGCCTTTATCCGATCTGCAGATCAAGATGACTTTAGCTCTGCAAAAGTTGAGGACGCCCCAACACACAGGTCGGCATTGGTTCAGCCCATGAAACCAGACGAGCTGCAAGCCGCTCTGAATCTCGAAATTCCTTCTTCCGGCCAAGGTCAGGACGGCCTCCTTCGAATACTCGACCAGCTGCTACAGTACTCGGTAAACACATGGCACCAAGGGTTTATGGACAAACTGTATGCATCCACCAATGCTCCGGGTCTCGCAGCCGAATTGATTATCGCTTCGCTGAATACAAATGTTCATGTATATCCAGTGTCCCCTGCACTTACAGTTATTGAAAAGTATACTGCAAAGCAACTGGCAGCACTTTTTGGTTTGAATGGGCCTCGGGCCGGAGGCATATCGGCTCAGGGAGGCTCAGCTTCCAATACCACCTCCATAGTCATCGCTCGAAATGTCCTTTTCCCAGAGACCAAGAAGAACGGCAATTACGGATACAGATTTGTTTTATTTTCTAGTGCACACGGGCATTATTCTGTAGAAAAGGCAGCGCAGATGCTCGGGTTTGGAAGTAATGCTGTTTGGAACGTGCCAGTCGACCGAAAAGGCCAAATGATCCCCCAATCTCTAGAGGATCTGATTGTCAAAGCAAAGAGCGAGGGCATGACACCGTTCTACGTTAATGCCACTGCTGGGACGACAGTTCTCGGATCATTTGATCCCTTGGAGCAAATTGCGACCATTTGTCGGAACCACAACCTTTGGTTTCATGTTGACGCTTCCTGGGGAGGCTCATTTGCATTCTCTAGAAAGCAAAGAGCAAAACTTGCCGGCGCACATCTGGCAGACAGCATCACGGTTAACCCGCACAAAATGCTAGGTGTACCAGTGACTTGCTCATTCCTAGTGGGTGCAGATATGACCAAATTCCACCGTGCAAATACTCTACCAGCGGGTTATCTGTTCCATAACGATTATTCAGCCGCCGACGTGAATGGCAATGCAACTATACCCAAACTGGAGTGCGAGCCTCCCGAAGTCTGGGATCTGGCTGATTTGACATTGCAGTGTGGCCGCCGAGCCGACTCACTAAAGCTCTTTTTGAGTTGGACTTACTATGGCTCGGAGGGGTATGAACGTCAAATTGATTCCGCCTGTAATCTGGCCGCTTACCTTGCAGCTGCCGTGTCTGATTGCCCAAACTTGCTCCTCATCAGCGAGAACCCACCCCCCTGTCTCCAGGTTTGTTTCTACTATGCTCCTAACAAACAACCCGTCTTCCGCCGTGGCCAGGAAATTGAGGGTAAACAAATTGACGAGGAAGAACGAAGCAAGCGAAACAGCAAAATAACCGAAGAAGTAGTGCAAAAGCTAGTCCGTCGCGGGTTTATGGTTGACTTCGCGCCACCAGCTGGAGACCATCCGCTAGCTGGCGATGGGAAATTCCTCAGGTGTGTGCTAAATTTACAGACAAAGAAAGAAACAGTTCATGCCTTGTTGGATGCTGTTTTGGCCGTTGGGTCAGAGGTTGTTGGACAATGTGAGCGTGAGAATGCAATCAATGTCCCGGAAACCTTTGCAGGAGCGAAGCCATTCCGTATGGGAAATCAAGGAGAGCGTGGACATGGGCCGGTCGTTCATCATTGAAACCCCATTCACGCGGATATTTCCCCCCTATTCTACTCTGACATGGAAAATTGTGTGTTATGGATGGTGGATACAGAATAGACGTTTGTTGATTGGATGAAGGAGGCGCCGTCATGACTCGACTATCCTTTCATCTTGGAATTACACCTGGATTATGATGTACATACATGTACCATACATACCTATAGAGAAAAAAAAAGATAAAATCTATCTTATTTTATTGATATGATATCTGCCTCTGTGGGCTGAGCATGGAGCCTTGAGCTATTACAAGTCCTTTATATCAACATTGAATGACATCTCGTGCTAGGATGCTGCTATCAAATTCAATTTCGGGTATCGAGTACAGAAGTGTGAGCTAATACATTGGGTAGGAATTAATGTTTAGATCGAAGGAGCGAAGTAAATTTGGAGATGCACGAAAGCCGCTCATGAGATATGTTTCCCTTAAACAGGATATGGAGGCAACTTCAGGGGTGATCATCTCAACATCGTACTTCTACTCTCCGCTCCAACACTGCCCTCGCCTCCGCCTCCGTCAAAGTTTCAATGTTCAATTCGGCCAACAATGATCTCGCACTTTCGTTACTCGCAAAAATTCTCTTTTCAGCCTCCCACAGTGATAGATTAGGTGTTTTATCCCCAGCACCAGTAGAGGCACCGTGATCTTTCTGTGTAGGCTTAATTTTTAAATTGAGAAGTAGCAAACCGTCTTCGAGTTTCCGCATCACGTTTCTGGACCCCATTCCGTCCTCTGTCGCAACATCAACGACTTTGCAGATATTATCGACATCAGCAGCAAATTGGGATGCACCAGTTGTCGAAAAGGTATTTCTCATTAATACGTTGTCCCATATATATGACTGTATGGAGAGAAGGAGTTGGCGAGTGATTCGCTGTAGTGGAGCCATCGCTAGTAGCCGATGGAGGAACGAGATCTCGGTAGGGAGCTCTCTAAGTATTGTGGCCAATTCGATAGATGGATGTGAGAACTGGCCGCTGGGATTCGTTGGAGGTGAAAGTGAAGACCAAGTCGATATCCGAGTGTATCCTCGAAGCGCTGACTGGGCACTTGATATCAAAACCGAGATTATGATTGACTCTGATCTCGTTTTTAGCCCGCGATAAGCGGATGCCGTTTCGTCAAAAAGAGCCCCTTCAGTTGGGTTTCCCCCGTCTTCATTGTGGTTCGCCACAGCGGACGAAGTCCGGGCAGCAACATCAGAAACACTCATTGGTCCTGCCACGGGTCTTCCTGTACGACTGTTTTGCTTGATGCGCTCTTGAAGTTCGGACCAGAGTTCCAAGAAAAATACATCGTCGCTCCAATCCTGCATTTTCCGTTCCAGATATTCTGCGCTCCCATACACTCTACAAAGCCGCTCCAGACCAGCCACGCCTTCAAGGTTAGCATCCGCACCCGTGGAGCCTTGGACCGTGCGGCCAATTGTAGATGTCATCGCAAGATATGCCTCTAGTCCTGATCGTAGCCTCTCATGAAACTGATCAAAAATAGTGATTTGAATGTCAATGAGAAAGCGCAGCTTCTGGCTGAAAGACGATAAAGGACGGTACCGCTCCGTTATTGTTTCAAGAAGATCATTGACCCGAATCGCAGCTTTGGTCGGCTTTGTGGCCGATGGCTCAACGCAGTAATAATCTATTTCTCCGCTGTCTGCACTTTCGATGATATCCTGATAGCGTGACAATGCAAAATCTTTCTCCACTTTCAGCCAGTGGTTGAACCAGCCTTGTTTAACAAGAGCCTCCCAAGTTAATCCTTTCCAGGTCTCTGACGAATATCTGTCCTGGGAATAATCCCACACGTCTCGGATTTCGGTATCAAAACTCATTAATTCATGAATAAAATGGCTTAGAAGCTGGGGATGATCAGCAATTCTGGGAAGAATAGAGCTCATCTTTTGGCGTAACATCGGGAAAAGAGAGGTAATGAAGGATGACACTGCATCAGAATATGACCAACGGAGATTGTAGTCAACAAGTTCAGCTCGTCTGTCGAGTATCGGCTGTAGATATATTGCAAAAAAGTCGCTATGTGTGTTGATGAGGTCGATAACGTGGGACAAAAAGTATTCAGGCTGCCAAAGTTAGAGGATTCCCCACATAGGATAAATATTGCGTAATGAAGGGCGGATACCTTGTCTAATCTATTTGTCGACCTATCACCACTGAAGTGGTATTTAAACCGGAGCTCAAGCGGACGGGCCATCACCACGAGAGGGAGAAGAACAGGAGGTTCCCATCGACGGGCAGACTCAGGGCTAGTAACTAATGCGCTATTCTCTAGTTCCCTAAATCAAAGGTTAGAGTAAATATGTTCCATAGCGCAATAATGGGATTCCTTACGGCGCTTGTAGCTCCAGTAATAATTCAACCGCATCCGACCACTCATTGATCAGGTCATCCGAAGTATTGAGCTCGTTACCCGGCCATTTCATTTTCGTGAGGACAGTTTCCAGGTTGTCATCTAGTACTTTGGTCATTTGATCTCGTAGGTTTTTCGCTATTTGCGAAGTGTAGGCGACTATGTGAGGCGCTGCTCCTTCCGCTGCAGGCTGGGCCAACTTGAGGCCAGACGAGATGTTTCGTAATCGTGTATAAGGTCGCAGTGCTAGGCGAGGCGATGTTGCAAGTAAATTAAGAGTTTCCTTGCTGCGCTGCCTAAGTAAAAATGGCCAATAAAGATCGCAAAGATCCCGTTCACTAACCTGAGCCCGTCTACTTCACACAATGTGCCCATATACCCCTTCGCAATTTCTAACCTGCGAAGACGTTCCATACTCATTTCGAATGATTTAGCCGCTTGCTCACTAGTATCTGACTTGGTTACCATCATGAGTCGTTTATCCAAATCCTGCTGTTGCTGCTTGAAGGCAGTCGCCTGTTTGCGCACACTTTCGCTATGCTCCTTTGACGCTGCGGTGGCATGGGCAAGGATATTTTTCGCTTCACGAAGCTGCGACGTGTTAATACTTGTTGAATGAAAAAGCCATAAGGTTAAGAGGTCTATACTTGTTTTCTTTGAAGTTCCTGCTGGGTCTGTAAATTCTGAAGGATGGTATCTAAGTTGCGTAAGTCCTGTCCGGTTTGGATCATATCATTCAAATAATCCTCAACCCGGACTGACTCCAGAAAATTATGCCGTATCAGTTCTTCCGCCATGGCTGCAATCCGAATTAATAGCGAGATGTTAGGTAAATTGAAGTTGAACGGTTGTATCTGGAGAGCCAAAACAACCAAGCTCCAAGTGGCCGCAAGCAAGTTAAGACGCTCGGACCAAGCGAAGAATCCCACGTGCTTTCCCGTAGGTCCCCTGAACCTACAACATCCCCGATTCAAATATATCTCACTCTCAGCCTATGGAGACCAGTCATGCCTAGTCCCGCTAAGAAGCGCAAGACAAATGATGCTGGACCTGTGCCTCAACGAGTTCGGGGAATCAAATCATTCTTTCGACCTCAAAATTCCCCACCGACGACAGCGACCAATGCCGAAGCGCCCTCGTTGACTGACGAAGAACTCGCGCGTAAATTGCAAGCAGAATGGAATGAAGAAGCTAGTTCAGGCCTCCAGAACCCTAGTGTAGCTAGAGATTCTCTGGGTTCAGTTTCAAAGGAGGCCAAACTTGAAGATCGAGATCCTAAATTTGGCCTAGAACCACAACCGCAACCTCTGTCGCCCACCGATTTTACTATAGATAAGGCGAAAAGTGTACTGTCGCTACAAACCTCGTCTAATGATGAGGATATTATTTCCCAATCTATACCCTTTGACCAAAGCCCACTTACCTTTGATCCATCTGACTACCTTGATCAATTACGGACACACTGGGAGGTTGACGGGGGACAAGCGCCATATGCCATTCTGACCAGAACATTCGTCCTTGTCAATAACACCCAAAGCCGGAATCAGATCATTGACAGCTTGGTCAACTTCTTGAGAGTGATCATAGAAGCCGACCCTGACAGCCTTGCTCCCGCCGTATGGCTTGCAACAAATGCGATTGCGCCTCCCTACGTTCCTTTGGAGTTGGGGTTAGGCGGGTCTGCTATATCCAAGGCGCTTAAAAACGCATATGGATTAAACAACCAAGGATTGAAAATTCTATATGACAAGCATGGCGATGCTGGGGATGTCGCCTTCGAGGCTAAGAAGAGGCAAAAATTTACTTTGAGGAAGCCAAAACCATTATCGATAAGAGGGGTCTACGAATCGCTCTTGAAAATCTCCAAAAGCAAGGGCCCAGGAAGCCAGGAGACCAAGCAACGAATAATTGAGAAACTTCTCCAGGATACAAGAGGCGCAGAGGAAAGCAGATTTCTCGTGCGAACGCTTGTGCAACATCTTCGCATTGGAGCAGTAAGAACAACAATGCTTATTGCTCTTGCCAGAGCATTCCTGTACTCGAGACCTGCCACGAGCAGTTTCACTGTTCATCACCGAAGGGATCTCGCAAAACTCAAAAAGGAGGAACTCACAGGTATCTACAGTAGGGCAGAGGAAACTGTGAAAGCTTGTTTTGCTCGACACCCAAACTACGACGATTTAGTACCATGCCTTCTGGAGATTGGAATATCAGATGAACTTATTGTAAGATGTGGGCTCACTCTCCATATTCCACTATGCCCAATGTTGGGAAGCATAACGAGGGATCTTACCCAAATGCTCACCAAGCTCCAAGGGAGAGCATTCACTTGTGAGTACAAGTATGACGGCCAGCGGGCTCAGGTCCACTGCGATTCCTCAGGCACGGTGTCTATCTTTTCCCGCCATCTCGAGCTAATGACGGACAAATATCCTGACTTGGTTGCTCTAATCCCCAAAATCCGGGGTGAAGGTGTGTCGAGTTTTATTTTGGAAGGAGAAATCGTCGCGGTAAACCAGGAAACTGGAGAAATATTGGCGTTTCAAACTCTTACCAACCGTGCTAAAAAGAATGTGGGCATCGATAGTATTAAAATCAGCGTATGCTTGTTTGCGTTTGATCTCATGTTTTTGAATGGTGAACCGTTGCTGGAGAGACCACTTCGGGAGAGGCGAGAGCTACTACGAGGGCTATTCATCGAGGTTCCACATCATTTTACATGGGTGAAAAATATCGACGTGACTTCGTCTGATTCGGAAGCTGTGCTGAGCTTTTTCAAGGATGCCACTGATGCCAAATGCGAAGGTCTCATGGTTAAGCTGCTTGATGACGATGTTGTTAAACCCGACTTGTCCAAAGAAGAGTCAACTGCGGCACCGGCTTCCACTAGCAAGCTACCACCAACTCTTACCACTGTTGAGCCGAGTGGGAACGCCAAAAGCAGGGGTCGACGCTCACTTCTCTCTACTTATGAACCTGATAAACGACTTGAGTCGTGGCTCAAAGTGAAAAAAGACTACAGTGCAGCATCTGATACTCTGGACTTAATTCCCATAGCTGCTTGGCATGGGCAAGGTCGGAAAGCCAAATGGTGGTCTCCGATCCTTCTTGCAGTTCGAAACCCAGAAACTGGCTTGCTGGAGGCTGTTACAAAGTGCATATCTGGATTTACAGATAAGTTCTATCAAGCTAACAAGGAGAAATATGCCGAGGGGAGCGATAATATAATTACGAGACCAGCCTACGTGGAATATAGGAATGAGCCGGAAGTATGGTTTGAACCACAAGAGGTCTGGGAAGTGGCATTCGCTGATGTTACTCTCAGCCCTACCTACACAGCCGCGATTGGCTTGGTTAGTGAAGAGCGCGGACTGAGCCTTCGCTTTCCGAGATTTATTAGGGTCCGCGAGGATAAGGGAATCGAAGAAGCAAGTAGCTCCGAGTATCTTGCGAGTTTATGGAGGAAACAAACGAAACGACTTCAGGAAGAAGGAGCACTAACCAATCCGGAAGCAGAAAATGACGACTTCGGCTCGGAGGACGCGGAGGATGAAAGAACCAACATTTTGCAAGGTTTGGATTTTAGGGGTTGAATCTAGAATTGTATGTAGCCTCCCCCCAGAGATTTACGGGGGAAAATGTCAATATTTAATTGAGATAACTGGCTCACGCGACTTAAGTACCTAGGCATATATATATAATATGCCTCTCCTATGTCCCAAGTTGTCGTCATTGAGACGACCAACATCCCTGCCATTTAGAGTTGCATTTACAATTCTCGTGAGCTTGAGTCGCAAAGCACGACTAAATGCGTCATCCAAAATGAATATGCACCAATCCAATTCTCGCCTGGCTCATTTATCTCGAAGTAATGATATTGGACGACGAAGGATTGAGTTTGACCCCATCATCCGAAACAGGAAAAACAAACGTTTTTGTAATTAAGTTCCTCTTTGGCCAAAAGCTTCTACCTGTGACGACACGCCGAGCTTCTATTTGCCTCACCCCCCAAATATTGCTGATAAGAAGGCTGAGGCTCCCGTGCTCTCCCCACCCAGCTCCTGTTGATTGGCGTCGTCCACTTTGATCGATACATTTTGATTTATACAAGTGTCATTAACATCCCTGTTAAACAAGATGCATGATCTCCCACGAAAGGCTTTGATTGCTGTCAGCAGCGCCCATCCTCCATTCTACCTGGATGGGAAAAAAACTGGACTCTCATTCCCCGAGGCTTTGCACGCGTTCAACGAACTAGTGGAAGCGGGCTTCGATATCGATATTGCGTCAGAGACAGGCACGTTTGCCTACGATGACCATTCACTAAATTCGCACAATTTATCCCATGAAGATCAGCGGATCCTTCAAAGTTTCGATTACCCCTTTCATCACAAGATGAAAAACCAGGTATTCAGAGCTGGTGATTTATCCGCACACGAATATGGACTTTTCTTCGCAGCTGGGGGTCACGGCGTAATGTATGACTTCCCGCATGCTCGCCATTTGCAGGCCATCGCGGAAGATATTTACGATCGCGGCGGCGTGCTTGGTGCGGTAGACCAAGCGCCGGTTATTCTCGCAGGCATAAGCACTCGGGATGGCGAACCGATCCTTAAGGGTAAGGAGATTACGGGCTTTCCAACGAAGGGCGAGGTTGAGTTGAAAGTCATAGACAAAATCAGAGACGACAATCTCAAAACCGTAGAGGAGATGGCTCAAGCTGTCAATGCTCATTACTTACCGCCGGCGCACAACTTCGATGACTTTAGCCATATTGATTCGAGGATTGTTACTGGAGCGAATGCCACGAGCGCCACAAGCGCTGTGAGGAATGCTATTAAAGTGTTTGAGGGGGCTGTGGGTGAGTTTTAATATATATTTCATATATTTCATGGAATCTCTACCAAACAAAAATGTCAAAAAACTCGATTGCTACGTCGATTAATGGTATGGGGCTATCTTCACATAATTTGTACTGTACGTAATTCATTGGAAGCCATTCGCTTTGACTGGAAAAGTAGCTTCACCTGCTCCTTGACAATGGCGTTTCCCGTTGTCTTCCCTCTGGCATATCCGGTGGCAAAATTCTTTTATCCTACCATTTCACAATACCGCGATTTGAGAGGATGGGTATGTAGTTCCATTATACTAGTGCACTGATCAATCAATCGTTTCGAAAATAATCACACGATAGTTAAAGAGCCGTCTGCTTCGTGCTTTCCTGAAGGGTCACAGTCGAGCGCTTGCCGTATTCCAAGTCACCTGGAGTTTCAACTTCACTGCATTCACTTTTTCCCTGACAGTTTTCTCCGGCTACCGTACTGCCGTTTGAAATCGTAAAGGTATCGCCACCTTTCCCGGCTTCGAAACTACTACTGCTTCCATTGCCCATTCGTTTTGCCCAAAGCTCCAACTTCTCCACTACCAGCTCCCACCCGATAAACCTGGGCATGGTAAGGCTATAAAAGGGCACTTTCACTACTGGCGCTTGACCACGATGTACAAATGCGCCGAGATACGAATCGTCCTTCGATTCCTGACCGCCTCTAGCGCTATAGAAGGAGTCGAAAGCCCGAGGAAAGATTTTGGAAATAGGCGCTTTGAATGTCGGCATACAGGCGCATATGATTGCAATGTTCGTTTCGAAGATAGTCCACATTGAAGAGTCGATCGAGGACCCTACAATTCACGGAAAGCATTGCTCGGTCTGTGCATAAGTCTCCGTGCAGCAAACGGGTGGGGATAGGAGAGAAAATGAGCAGCTTTGCACGCACATGTTACGTCGAAATTTTTAGTTGCAACATCTAATTTCATGGATCTGAGCACGCTCGTGATACAAACGCTGAACGAATCAAACAGCGTTAGCCATTGCCTACACTTCCTAAATGCAGCAGGGAAAGGGGTTGGGTACCATACAAAATACCAACCGCAAATATTGACATCAACCCAATCTTTTCCTTTTTGGGTAATAGGAGAGATTTTATAACTGGCATGGGCAATATCAATATAGCCAGATCACTTAATATGCTGAAGGCCGCGTTTGAATACCAGCTGATTGTGAGATTGATGCAGGTTCCGGGGACTTGTCTTTGCCAGGCACGGTGAATCGGAGTACACTGAAAGACAGTGGCTGTTGACGACCCAATCGTATAACAGATAACAATCCAGATAAGAGACCAACACGTTCGACGGAAGATTTTACCAACGAATATACGTAGATACAGAAAAATGATCGATATTTTGGATAGAGCAATTGTCACCTTATATACGACTTGGGCTCCTACATAAAGCTATGTTTATGTTAATAGAGCGTTTTATCAGCATAAATTTGTTGACACGCACAACACTTCGAGGGTATGATGTCTAGAAAATGTGAAACGCACCTTCAATGACTTCTGAACAAGAAGAAGATCTTGCTGTTTCATATGTTTCCCAAATGCCCATTTGCAAACTGAAGTGGAGTTAACACAACTGGACAGCTGAAAAGATTCTTAGGCTCAAAGGAGCGTACCAATAATCATGGTTATCGAGAGTATCACCGAGAACAACTGTATGAATTGATATCCCATTTTTCAGCAATAACTCGGACCGGAAAAGGGAAACAGAGCGCATATCGCATTCTTCACATTGAGACAACTTACGCAGGAGATGAGAATGGTCCAGTCATCCCTTCCCAGTCGCTTTGTAAAATGCAGCCTGCTGGCTACTCTCAGCCCCACGAACAAGGGAGTTACAAAGCAGAACACAATCGAAGGGTTCATCAATCGACTAGATATGTCTGGTATCGGTTCTCCTGAAGGCGAAGACATATTGGAGGCGCCTGCCACTTACACGCAAACTTGTTATTGCAAAAATCAAAGAGTGACGGAGTGGTGTCTGCGGGCAGGAAACGCAGTAGACATATACACAAGAAGCATTCACGATGGGACTTGAGAGAACTTGATATACACCGAAGCGAAGAATCTTCTGGTTTGAATTGAGTAATATATCTGCAGCATGAACCAAACCAGATCGTATTTGAAAATGAGTCGCTTTTGCAAGGGGCGCGCTGTCAGCATGAGTACAGCAACCAACCATGGCAAAGCTTTTAACATGAGAACTTAAAAAATAAAAAATAAAGGCATTGGTTTTGTGAAGGCGTAGTCTGGGAATATGTGCATTCCTTTCATATGCATTGGTAAGCTTTATCTTGTGGTTCAGGGCGCCAAATTGCGCTGCGCGTTGCTGGGAATAGCGAGGCCTTTAGCGGAACAGCAAAGAGATCTTCTCCAGAGAGAATTGCAGACCCCAAAACGAGCAATTTGCAAATCATGGTATGCAAAGCAAGTTAAATAGCAGAGGCAGGCTGAGAGCATTGACTTGCTTCATCACCCTGCCTCTTGCAAGGGTCTGGTTCAGGAAGCAAACATCGAAACAAAGAATTTGGAAAATGGACATGTCCGGGAAGATGTTGATCCCAAGGACCCAAATCGTTGGAAGATGAGCCCAGCAACCAATCCCACGATATTATTCCAAATTCTAAGGCATTGCTGTCTGGACAAGCACATGCTAGAGTGTCCTGTTAGCGGGAGTCCACTGGCAACAAACGGTCTCCAATGACACAAGCGTATATGAGATCTAACATGACGTTAATCAAGTTTCGGTAGACAACAAAAAGTTTTGAATTTGGACATGACACAACATAGATAATCACTGTTCGATCGACGATGGTTCGTTGAATTCGACAATCCTCCCATCGGATAATGGGCTACCCCATAAACTCAGTGACGGATATCGCAAAGATTGACCGACACTCCGTTGGAAACATACAGTTGATGCTTCTGAGGCTGCATATTTATCTGGCAGCTGGTTCTTGGCACTCCATTGTGAGAACTTTGCTTGGGCGGAGAAAGCCCATGATCTGATACCACGGCTGCAATACCGTGGAATTAGAGACTTCGTTATTTTGGATGTTAATCTGATGAGTGAAGGAGAAGTCGGGGGATTTTCTCTCTTGATCAGTCAAAGAATCAATCAATTGATATGGAGGTTTATGCTGCCAGAATATCAGGGTTGAATTGACAGCACATTAATTTTCTCGTTGGCTGGTTCGTGGCGCCACAAAATGATAAGGAAAATTGGAAAAAGATTATCAGGCTCATCATGTCCATGGAGATGACCGACCGACAAATCAATAACAAAGAATGATGACAGACGCCCATACACGCAATCCAACATAATTTATGCACGCGGACGTAATCATTATTTTAATGGGAGACGAATGCTCCGTAGTTAGTGACCCATTCATTCATTTTGTGTACCGAAAATCTGGGTGGTCATCCCCGAGGTTCTCCAACTCGTCTCGACATATTTAAATTGAACCGATAATCTCGGCATCCAGAGTCCCGCTTCTTATTTTCTCGCTCCAGTCCAAGCATAAATACCGTAGACAAGAGAGCACACACAAATATCAAAGCCAGAGCGCTCCCATATCCTGCTTTGAAGAGAGGCGCAGCATTCGGGGCGAACATATTACTGGCCACGAGACCACCAATATTACCAACAGAAATTTGGAAAGCGATCCCGAATGCACGTTTGTAGTGACCGGCTAAGTTGTTAGAGACCCATACGACGACAACAGGTTGAGCGACGTATACACCAATATTGACGATGAAGAGTGCCATGTGTTTGACTCTTATGGATACGTCTTGTTGGCAGAGCAGCAGTATATATCCAATGCTAGCGAACAGACAGCCAAACAAAATGAAACCACAGCGATGGCGCATTCTGTCGCTGAGGTAGCCTACAAGAATGGTCGCGGCCGCGGATGCCACCCAAATAGGTATACTATGGACTTGTGATTGTGAGGCGTCATACCCAAACGGATTTAAAATAGTAGGGTTGAAGAGAGCTGTCGAATACCTAGAGGTATTGATGGTGAAGTATATGAACGCCCTAACCGGAGAATTCGTCAAGGATTTATATATGGCCGATTTGCGTTGAAAGAACGGTTTCCATACCCCATATATATTTTCCAGTCCTTGACAATGATTTGCAAAGATTCTCGGTTAAGCTTGTCCATTTTTGCGGAACCCATATCCTCCTTTAAGCGTGCTGCAACCATGACTCGCTCCTCTTCCGAGAGAAACGATGCTTTAGAAGGCCAATCCACGATGAGGAACTTCGTAAGAAAGCTCAGTGAAATCGTCATAAGGCCTTCAACAATGAATATGCTACCATGGTATTAATATTTTCCATCTCCCTGTTTGGGCCACGCGCAGAGAATCTTACCATCGCCATCCTGAGTATCCTCCCACACCATCGAATTTGGCGAATGAAAACGCTAGAAGCTGAGGAATAAGATAGTGTCAGACTTTGGCAAAGAAATAGACGTTGCTGGACAAAGGAAATCAAAATCATACTCCCCCGACAGCACCTGCAACCATTCCAGACGTAAAAAGAACAGCGAATCTTTTCTGGAATTCGTGCCTCTTGTAGTACGTACTCATAAGATAGCTGAATCCTAAACCATCCTCCCCAACGTCAGATGGAGCCGGATTAACATCCATGTGGTGGTATTTGTTACCTGGGAGAAGGCCAGCTTCAAAAACACCCAAGAGAAATCGGCAAACGGTGAGCCCCTTCGGGCATTTCACGAATCCTTGACACACAGTCACAAGACCTTCGCATCGCGTTAACATGGCAAGGGATATGAATTTCAAAGCTTAGGGCCAGCTTACCGAAGAAAAAAGTGAGAATAGTAATCCAAGTCGAGGGAGCAACTCGCTTAAGAAGAATGTTGCTAGGAACTTCCAAAATGATATATGGAACGAAGAAGATCAGCAGGGCAAGGCGAATATCACTAGTGATATTCATATTCAATTCCTCTATGAGGCCTTCGATCAAGGCTTTGCCGACATTGATTCTGTCCATGAAGGCACAGAAATACACAATAAATAGGATAGGGACAATGTGGAGGTCAAATTTCCATAGCAATCGCTGCTCAGCTTTAGGATCAAGCTGTTCACTAGCATTCGTATGTTTTTCAGCCGATTCTATGGAAGTAGCGGTTGAGTTTGGTGTTTTCTCCCCTTCCATATTTGCTTGTGGAAAGGGTTGCAAGTCTCAAGGGTGTGAATTTGCCTCAAAATCATGGATCAGGGTGAAAACTTAAGAAAGGCGAGAGAAGCGGGGGAGGGCAGATCATATATGATCTCTGAGGCTTTCTTATTGCTTCGAAGCAACCCATGAGAAACAGAAAATATCAAGGCAAATAGACCGTAATTGGAGTGCCATAGGCATGGTATGAGGGAGCCATGCATGCAGGAGCGGGAACTAGCACATGCATTAGTGGGGTTGTTAGGGATAGTTATGTGAAGAAGGAGCACAAAGAGCATCCCCCCACCGACTCGGACAGCCAGTTTTGTTCGATCTCGGACCCCTGAAATGCACCTTTGAAATACTGAGAACCTTCACCGGCAAGATGTCTTAAAAGTGCCGCTATCATTCCCTTAGGAAGAGGTAACAGCAACTCAATCAGCCAAATTTCTCAAGAAGATAGCTTTTCGTTCGGTCATAAAATGTGCCCGCCGTTAGCGGCACAAAGAGAAGGAAACACTCCCCATTATGAAAAGAAATGTCCCATGATAGTAAAATGGAAAATTTGGAAGAAAGCACGTATCGATTTTGTTTGGCCGACAGACTGCTATAGTAGCTATGGACGTGCATCATATAGATTAACAAAGAAGAACACCCGCATAGGATATATTGGTTTCGCGTTTGGATAAATAACTGACAACCGGTAGATTCAATCTTCCTGCATTGGGAGATTCTATTTGGGTTCCACAAATTCCCATCCCTCTGTGAAAGCCCCGTACTCAATATCTGAATATTCAGTTTTGAATATGTCTTCATACTTCGGTATGATCGTTTCGGGATCTTCAGCCTGGCGAAAGTAGTCTGAAATCAATGACTTGAGAGTAGGATCATTCCACATTTTCTTCTTCATCCAACCGACCGCTTCAGGGGTTGCGTATGTGAGAGGAAGGTTGTAAGTCCGGAATCGCTAATACAAACGGCAGTTATCGTTAATAATTAGTAATCCTGATCAATAGTTATGCACAGCTGACTTTCCATTGACGTTTCCAAGGTTCGCACAGCAGCTTGCTTGTCAAGAACATACGTCGACCGCTCTGGCGGACAATTCTAGAAAAGTTCCACAAAAGTAGAGAAAATGAAGAGAGAAAATAGTTAACATACCCATAGGACAGGCCAATAAAACGAATCCGCAATCCCAAATTTGCCAAACAGAAACCCATCATCCGCCTTCCCCAGTGCCTTCAACTGTACTGTCGTCTGCCGCCTCGCATTTGTCCATATCGCCAGGATTCGCTCTATCTCCTTCTTTGCATCCTGAGACACTGGGATATTTCCCGTATACTTTCCTATGAAGTTAGAATGGTAGGTGCTTCTAACGGCGGTGAAGCCGGAATGCATCTGTGCAACCGCGCTCCTCGCCAGGGCGCGGAGGTAGCGGTCTTTTGGCCATAGGGGGAGGTCCGGGTGAGACTCAGCTAGGAATTCACAGATAGAGAGGCTGTCGGTGATCTGTGTGTGAGCGGGCAAGGAGCGGGCGGTGAGGACGGGCACGAGGCCAGATTCAGAATGTTCTTTGACCTTCCGGGATTTTGTTCATTAGGGGTCAAGCTGGAAGATGGTAGAGAGGCTAACTTAGAAGTTGGGAATATTTCTCACTTCTGAAAGCTTGATAAATGTTTTCTTGTACGGAATCTGGTAATATTCCAAGAGTGTTTCCACGCGCGTTGTCCAACCTGTATGTATGCAACGAGTAGTCAAGTTAGGGATATACCTAGGAAGTTTAAGCATCAAATATTAGCAAATCGATTCGTCATACTGGAATACCGCGTGTGGGTTCCGATGAGTTGAAATTCGGGCTCTTCCTTCTGCGAAGCCATGTTTAATAACATTTGGCTTGAGAGTTATCAGTTTGCTTTTCGCTTTTCATCCGGCTTTTTGTTACTTTCGTAGACGGCCATTCAGAGACGTCTAAGGTTCCAATCAGTGGAGTTTTTATATCCTCCCTTCCTTCACTTCACATTTTCAATTATTAAGCAACGCCCTGCGACTCATACTGTAGGCTACTGGGGCAAAAGAGCTCAGTCACCACCAGCGCACTGCTGGTAGAAGGGCCGATCAACCCGGGACCCCCAACACATACTTACTCCCCGTATTGATTCTGAGTCACGTCCTAGCCGCTGGCGCTCGTTTTCAATTGCACATCACATGGATATTAATTTTTAGTAAGTTAGTGTGGTCAAGCGTCCCGGGATTTCTTACAAATAGATTACATAGATTACATCAAAACACCTCAATACAGGCAATCTCTTAGATTAGCCAGTTTACGCGTATTTAATACACTAATGTACACGCTAACAGCCCACGTTAATCGTGGTCTCACGGCCAGACGAGGAGATAACTTTAAATCTAAAAATAGAGCCAAAAATTGCGAGTCAATGAAAAGAAAACATGTAACTAGCCAATCATCACGCTACACCCTAATCCGCTAACACAAAGCTATACTAGTCTTGTTCATCATTTCCTAAAGTGGTAGGTACGAGGCCAAAAATCCAAGCAGCGCGTCACACGCGTCTTTTCGCGATTTTGTATAATTTTTGTTCGATTGTCATGGCACATACGATAACAAATGTCAATTCTCTACTGAGCATTTCATGATCATTCACCAAAATAGGCAGGATAGATAAATAGATGAGAATGTTGGTGGCTAATATTGTCTGCCAATCCTTTTCATATTATTTTCATGATGTCCTTTCTTAAGTGGGTCCAAAGTACCCATTCGAATGGGACTCACGTGCATTAGTATTAGACGGACGTGTAGTTGGGTCGAGTAAAGAAATGCAAACAGGCAAGTAGAAAAGAGCTTGCGGGCATATACATGACAAAGCAAGGAACATCAACTTTCAGCGTTGGAGCAAAAAGGGGAAAAAATAAGGAAAAATAAGCAAAAGTTGCATAATTTGCGTGGTGAAATCGTACATTTCTTCCTGTAATTGATGGGCAAAGGGGGGAAGGGGAAGGGAAAAAGCTCGTTTGGTTGTCGCTATCCATAACTCGTTGGAAAAGGGCAAATATCAGAAAGCTGAGCAAGTCATATGTGATCGTTTGGTGTACAAATATCCGTTGAAATATGGAAGCGAAATGACGAAGGAAGTTGACATAAGAGAAATTTTAGTCGTGTACATTCGAGACAATAAAAGAGAACGGAGAAAGCAAAAAACGTAGGTCGAGGAAGAAAGAATTTATGAAAAGGCCGGGGCCAGTGTGGGAATTGGTCTTGGGAAAGGGGACAAATGACCGGCGGATAGAAGAGAAAATCGATATGCCGTATCGTTGAACCTAGAAAAAGTTTATTGTCGGTGTCGTATGTGCCTTATGCAAGTATTGTTAAGTGCTATGTTCTTGCCAGGTGAATCTGAAAAAAAAAAATGGATGTACAGTAGTTTTATCACGGTCGTAGCTCCTCTCCTAGTTGTAAAGACAACGCTCCTCTTTTCTCACGTGTTGTCGAAGGGCTTCCGGCCAATGGAGGAGCGAGAGAATCGAAATTAAGGCGTTTTCTCAATTCCTTTGGAGGACGTGGGGTCCTCGACAAGGTGCCTGGCGTTCGTCCTCCCCATGGTAACTGTGCTGGGCTTGGGGTAACGTTTACGAAGTCTGCGAAATTGAACTGCTGGGTTGGGGTTCCAAAATTGGCGGTAACGCCTCCGCCAGGTGTGGTGGTCAATGAAGGGAGGACAGCTTGTTGGCTTGGGGGGGTTGAAGGGGGGAAATCCTGTGGGCTGGCTCTTCCTCGAAAAGTTGCTGGAGTAGGGGAATTGGCAAGGAACAACAAAAGATCTGCACCATCTTCCCCATTTTCAGCCTCTCTGTTATTCCGTGCAGTGTGATTTCGGTTCGGAGGTGGAGTGCGAGGTGGTGAGGAGCTGATCCTTGACGAGGTAATATTGTGTACTTTGACAGTTGGAAGTTCGGGTTCCTTGGCTTCGTGATAAACAGGTGAGTGTTTCCCGTCAGGGATCGTGTCCGACTCCGAAACAAATGAACTGGGATCGTCATGATATGTAGGATGTGGGCGATTGAAGACGGGAGACGATTGCGGAAGCCCATTCTCGGCGTTCCACGAGATTCGTGTCGCCTTGGAAGGTTGCTCTGTTGTAGGGCTGGAAAGGCCACGCTTGCGTGAACGGCCGATGGTGTCAATGGAACTGGGGAAGAAAATTGCCGCATGTTTGCTCCGTGACGACCTGGGGAGCTCGTTTGGAAGCATTGGCGTTGGAAGAGGGGACGAGGTAAAAGGGGTTTCGTAGCGGCTATCACACATTTCTGAAGAAGAATCTGATATAACTTCACCATCACTAGGACCTCTTCTCCCACCCTGTTGGATTTGTTGTAGCGGCTCGACACGGCGGCAACGAGTTCGTTCGTAGCGGACCTTTGCCAGGCCTAGACGATCCTGGAGGTTGAGGGATATCTGTAGGGAAACCCAAGTTAAAACCACTGATACCGTTGAGGCAGACATAATAAGAAACCGACGTACCTGGGCAACATCAAGCTTAGGAACTTTCCGCTTTACGGAACCAGTAGGCTGCGTGGCGGACATTTTGTATTGATAGCTAGTTATTTTCGCCAGTCATTTGCCAGACTTCGTGATAGGTCGGTTGGAGTGGTTGGCTCAAAGGACAAAAATTGCTCTGGCGGAGGAAATTGGTGACTATGGGTGTGGATTGCAAGATTTTGAGCAAAGTTCAATTATGTGTAAAGAATGATGAAAAGGGGAATACGAATGCAGGGACAAAGGGATAAAACTATTACAGGAGCTAGAGTTCAAATCCTGCCTGCACCCGGAGACCTGTTCGTGGGAGGGTGGGACGGAGGAGTGGGCGGTTGTGTGCTTGTACAAGCTTAGCTTGGGTCTGTGGAAGGTTTCGTTGTTTTGAGGTGTTTTTTGCAGGGAAGCAGGGCAGCCCCAGTTTGACTGCCACGCGACCAAAAAAATGACAGCGTCTTGTACTGGTTGAAAGCTTCCCACCCATGTTGCTAACCTCCATCTTTATTCTAAATACTATAGATGGATAGCTAGCTATCCAAGCACTTGGGTAGTTGGTTATGCTCGCGTTATTCACCAGACGATCCAAACCTGTCATTTTGAAGCTGGGTTATGAACGACGCGACCACCTATGTATGTACATGAAAACACTTGGATATCTCATATTGAGGACCGAGCGTCTCTTCTCTCTTAATGATCGTGAACCACATTTGAATCATATCACATCAATATTCTCTATCCCAAACCGCTTCACATATTGCTGTCATTCGAAGTTGCAAGATAGGGAAAGATACTGGCACCGGAAGCATGCAGAATGCAGATCCATATCTAATTCCTCACAAGTTTAACTCACATTGCAATATGCCCTTCTAAACTTGCTTCGACGGCTTGAATGGATTCAAGTTAGTCCTCCCTATCACTGTTTGCGACCGAGCCTGCCGGGATTCGAAACCTATTCGTTGGCAGTATCAGCATATGTCCCATCCGCCGTTGTTTCCATGAGAAAGAGCTTGGGCACTCCCAGGTCTCTAATCTTCCACGTCTTGCACCAGCATAATTAGCTGACTTTCGCGTACAAAACGCAAACCATAACCCAGTCATACCTTCCCATCGAAGGTATATCTGCAATGGATGACCGCGCGCAAGCCAACTTGTCTGTCCGATACAGTCTTGTGTATACATACGGCTGTGACCTCGATACGTGGTGATGAAGCCACCAGCGGTAGATTCACGAGACAATGACAGGAAACTTCTCAGTCATGGCAACATTGGTGTCGAGCTGCTCATGATAAATTCACGCCAGGATGCGGCGCCCTCGGTTTCTATCCTTTACTCAAAATATCCTGCATTACCAATTCTTCGCGTATCGCCCCCCTTCCAAAATCCCATCTCACTCTGAGGAGACTGGGACAATTCAGTCGATATGTATGTCCGGTAGTTCATTATAGTTTGATATGCGAGGTCGCATAAGGAACGACCCCTTTAATGGCCTTCTGGCCTTTGCCTAGGTCTCTTGATCCTAACATTAGCGAGACGTAATTCAGTGGATACTGCATTGAAGACTTTCCTGAAACTCAAATCGGATTTTATATACAGAGTAATTAGAATCCCTAAATAATTCCTATCGTCGCTGCACGGCGCACGTGTATATGTACTAACGTAGCGCACTTACACTTGATTAAGATATGGGAAACGTAGTTGAAGTATTTATTATAGTTATGTATGCTTTATGTCTATGACGGTGCAAAAAAAAAGGAGGGAAAAAAAGGGCGAGGAGCAAGATAGGCAACGATGTATGCTAGCTTTGCCAGGATTTGCTGTGGTTATGATTTCTTCCTTTGAGAAACTCCAGTCAATCTTTCGTACTGCGTAGGATCACCGCGGTACTTTCGTGGGATGTGTTCAAAAAGGCCATTTTTCAGCATCGGATTCGAGACGGGAACGGAGGTTATTCTATGTTTAAACAGGAGATCTTTGTGTGCTTTGTGTTCCAGGCTGTGTCTGTTGGGTGTGGGGTTGGTCGGTAGCAGCTTTGACCGCATGTTTGGGTTTTCAAAAGGTACACAGAGTATATTCTCCAAGCAAGTTTATAAACTCTTCTGGGTTAGTTAAAGGAGCCGTCAAATTCTATAACTTTCGAGCCAGGCTGTATCATAATATCTGGTGGCTGGGCGTTGGGCAAACTTGGTTTGGATGCGGGAGATCTACGGAGGATATAAACTAACTACCACCCCGCTGGTTGGTGGTTAACTACCAATGGTTTTGATTTGATTTGATTTTCTTTTTCTTTTTCTTTTTCTTTTTACTTTTTCTTTTTCCTTTGCGGGCATGATCGGTCGGTTTATTTTAGTTAACCTTTTTAATGGCAGAAAGAAACACAATATTTTCTGTTTGGGATTTTCCCTAGTAACTACGGAGTACAGAGAACTCAATCTGTATCCCGAGAAATTTCATCACTCCCCCCATATTAGTTATATCCCCGCAAGTTTCTTTTCTAGAAGAACAAGCAAGCCCTTGGCCGGTGAGGTTGACAACATTGCGAAAGGGAAAACCAAAAACAAGGAAAACCAAGCCAACCCTCCCGGCTGACATTCCGGGAGCCAGGATCTTCAGCCTTGTCTCAAAGACAGGGAGGGGCGTCATCAAGCATCAGTGACAGGCAGGATACAGGATGACCTCTTGACAAACTGCAAGCAATTGTAGCCTGGGCTGTTGCGTGTGTCTAATATGTGTCTAGTAATATGTGGGTCCCGTCATTGCTTGATGGCATTATCTCTTTTTCAAACCAGGGGGCACTGGCCAGCTTAATTGGGCGTGTTCGTCAGTGGCTACGCTGTTGGTTTGATTCACTCATGACTGACTACGCAATTCCCGTTCCAGGGCTATCATCCCCGTACAGTACAATGTACATGTACATGTACGTCCACAACACACGGCTATCTTCACCACATAGCTTAGGTACCTAGCCAGCTGGTGACCAAAAACTGGATCTTCCTCCGATTTTGCTTCCCTCTTTTCCATCTATAGCATATTCCATTCGTCTTTTCAGCCCGTATCTCCCATTCGTGTCAAGTCTCTCGCTTTCGGTTCGAATGGGATCTCTTTCGCACTCTGAAATTCTCGACATTCGTTAATTTCTCTTCTCTACCTCCCGAACTCCTGTCCACAATCTCGTTGCATACGCGATTTGAAATCTTCTGCTCTTTCCTTGTACCAGGGTGTGAGATCCTCGATCGTTCCTCCATTGATGTTGTGGATATTCCCTTAATGCCCGGCTGAGCTTACCAGTATAACCTATCCTTCTTCGCTCGCACAAGCTTTCTCGCATTCCCTACACGACAATTACTTGCTTCATTGTCTATTAACTTACCTTTCTCCGCTCCCCTTGCACACACAAAGCCACTTTCAATCGTCGATCTAGTTCGCGTCCAGTTGCAATGAGACTAGACGGCTTCAAAATCCTCTAGAATCACTCCATTTGAAGAAATAATGCCATTTTTCAAGGACCTCCGTCGCCGCTCCAGGGCTACTTTTAGCTTGACCCCGTCTTCCTCCTTCAATGCCAATGACGACGTACTCCCTGACAAATCCTCATCTACTCTCGACTCCCCGATTCCTAGCTTGCGTAGCTCCTCTGTATCTTTTCTCAAAAGCAACAGTCCCGACTTACCCTTTCCTCATTTATCTACCCTCTCGAAATTGAACGGAAACGGAGATGGCCCACAGGTGACGCCACCACAGAGACCTGTTCCAATTGGGTCCCAGTCAAGCCGGAGCAATGGTACTGTGAGTTTTATTTCCAAGGCCATCCCTTGATACAAGCGTACTACAAGCATACAAGCCGTTTGGATTCTATCGCTAATGTTTTGCGTTCATGTAGAATGGTAGTCATCACTGTCTGACAAATTCCGGAAGAGGTTCTGCACCGGTGCCTCTGTATGCCCCGAGAGTTTTTTCTGTTTCCGATAACTCTTGGGTATGCGTATAACCCTTTCTATCCTGCTCCTGAATATATTGTTTGCTATCTAAAAGTGTGCTAATGTTAACCCTTTTGATCAGGTACATCAAAAAATCCTCCTAATTTATGGTCAGACTGGAGACGCACGACAGCACTCCGTTGATGGAAACATAACTATCCACCATTCCCAAGATTCGTTCCCTCCCATCACCTGGCCTGTTTATGAGTCACACTTCAAGGCTTTGGTCCATCTTATCCCAGGTCCTAACAAGCTACGACTTGAATTCACCTCCTCAAAAATTCAGAACCCAATTGCCCATTCGTCATGGGTGAGCATTAACTACCTGCCTTTAGTAAACTCTCCTCCCCTCCAGCTCGCAATTGTGCTGGGGAGCGATTCCGATGGCCGTTTTGATGCGGTTCCCGAGAGAATATCACGGGAGGGAAACGGTTTGGAGACCGCAATACGGAAATTTCGAATGGCTGCGTATATGTGGCAGTCGTTTACTGGGGAACAGATGTACCGAAATAAGTTCGGAAGGCGCTGTTTCCGATTTGAAGAGGAGTGGCAGGTTGGAACGCTGAGCCTACGGGACGCGAAGTCACATCAGATGAGAAACGAGGCCAAGATACACATTATACGCTGCGACAGAACGGTTAACGATCTGAGAAATCTTAGTGTTGTGGGACAGGGTGGCACTAAATCGGATGCGAGTGAGCTCTTCAACGTTGTACTTGAGGCTATCAAACGTTATTTTGGGACTGGAGATGGCCAAATGCAGTATGTCTCGGCACTAATGCTTGATACCCACTGGGACATAGGATCCCAGAAAATCACATGTCATGCCGCAGCGGGCTCTGATGGAGATAATATCAAGCTGGCTCTTTTTGGATCCTATGCGTTGCAAAGCTACCCAACCGCCATGGAAGAAGTAGTCACAGCTTTCACTGACTGCACACGGACGGATACTAATTTCGTTGCCAATTACAGAAATGAGTGTGGGAGCAACTGGGAAGCTGTTAACTCCGGGATTGGCGGCCATCTCCGTTCAATTGGCCGTTTATTTGGCTGTCGCAATCAAGAGAGTGGTATCATGTGTGGAGATTGCATTCTATTGAATCGAAGCTTCACAATTCGAGAACCATATTCTACTCGAACGAAGGCACAGGGACTGCGACTCTGCCTTAATGAGGACGAATGTAACTGGCATAGACTTGATACCCTTCGTTTTAGATTTCATGCATGCTTCCGGCTGCCACGAGATTCACCTCCTCGCTCTGATGACTCAGTTCAAGTATGGCCCGTTGACAATGGCAAGATATTAATCACTTCGTCAGCTGGCATTGCTTTCATCGAAATTTACGTGGACAATGATGAGATCTGCAGGTCGTATCTCGAATACGTGGATGGTGATTCCGGCAATAATGGCATCCCGAAGCAGATCGCTCTCACCGAAGCTGAGATTCGCCGGCAAACTCCTGGGAGCACTAACAAGAAGAGAAAGATCAAGTTGGTGATATATTCCGGCATCCTTAGCACTTATACGATTGACGACATTAGCAAACTCAAATCCAAACATTCGACTGCTAAATTACCTACTGGGCAAGTTGGATACAGGGGCAACAAATTGGGGCAAGCTCTATCCTTAGATAGTATCCCAGAACAACTGTTCCTGGAATGTGCCTTCATCCAGACGAAGCTTCTGGTCTCCGTGAAAGTCTATCATAATGGCTTTATATACGGATTAGAGTTTTGTTACGAAGACTCCACGAGCCAGGTATTTGGGCACAAAAATTCCAACTCTACCCGTAGCGAATTTGTGTTTGGTAACTCTACCACCCCTAATTCCGATTACCCTTCTTCTACTTCGTACAATGCTAATATGTATCTCTTGGATCAACCAGACACTCGTCGTGGTGAAATCCTAATGGGATTTTACGTGAAGATGGGCAGGCAAATCGATGGCATTGGACTTATCACGAATCTCAGCAGGAAATCTGCGGTTTTCGGAAACGGCAACGGTAGAGCTGGGTAAGTGAGGACATGACATTCTTGCTTCTTTTTATCATATTCTATATTTACATCCTTTGTTACATGGGACTTTAATTGGCTAAGCTTCCTCTCTTGAGTGGGTAATAGCGAATTTGATAATTGTGGCTAACTTTTTGTCCTATTAGCCATACATTGATACCACCAAGGGGCTACAGTATTGCTGGAATATCCGGATCCGTAGCGTCCTGCATTGAGGAACTCTCCCTAATTATAACTCGATGACGGATGTTCTCCTCTACTTCTGGGACTTTCATAAGCTTGCTATATTCCTATCAAGCTGGGTGCACCAATTTCACCCTCTTGTTACGCAATTGCGTAGCGCGATATTAACATCTTTTGTGGCTCCCATCGTGTCGTTCACACACTACCCGAAAATTCGCCGCCACCCTGACAAAGATCTCACTGAACACTCGAGTTCTCTATACCAAAAACTTCACATAAATTCAAAGCAACGCCTCTGAAAGGTTTACTTCTGCGCCCTACTATCTGTTATATACGTTCGACACCTCTTATTTGAATTCCGCGGGATCGTCTACGCTCGAAGCGATTTTCATGGTGGCAGGTTGGGCGGGTTTTGTATTCAAACCCCAAATCAAACATGGAGTCACGATCACGAACTACGCAAATATATATTTCTCTAGTTATCTTTTATCTTCGCTTCATCTGACTTGCATCGGGTTGTATGTTCTTCTTTACACGACGATGGCCCTTGAAATATTTTCTGCACATTTCATTTGTGAAAATAGGGCGGAAATGCGTTTACCGTATATGACCACCGATATTCTTCTCTTTTATTCTCGTTTCTGTTGCATTTTTCATTTTTATACCTTCAATTTCTCTTCCGAGTTCATCTGGTTGTTATATCTCTTCAAAAGGAGCTCTGTTAACTCAAATGTTATTCATTTTCCGTATCAAGGTTTCATTTGAAAGTTATTGACCCTTTTTCTCTCTTAACTGTTACCTGCCACTCCCACAGGGTTTCTAGTAACCCTTTTTTATCTTTGTTTTTTATGACTGCATATATCCTGTTCATAATATGGGTGCAGGAGTATAAGGGGACTGAGGAATGAATAATGCTACTACTTTGCTAGAACATGCGGGGGTTTAAGATTCACTTTTTCTTTCCCTGTCTGGGTGGGTTTCTCCTTGTCCTTCAGCAGGTTTTAGTTTTCACTTACTTCTTTTTTCATTCGGTCCTGCGGCTGGGCATGGCGGTGCATTTATGTTGGGTGAGGCATGTGGCATGCGTATGATGTACTTTTTTTCCTTTTAGATTTTTTTCCGCAGGGTTAAAATAAATAAATAATCAGCCTCTGTGTTTTATAAAGAGTACTATCTGTTCCTGTTTCCTTCGATTCGGCCGAGGTTTTTCATCACAGTTCTGTAAATAGAAAATCAATTATGCAATCAAATCAACAGCTGACCTGTGCAACTAATTATACTAGACAAAACTATCTCTCTATATATTATAGAAAAACCAACTTTTCCGAGCCTTACCGGAAAAACGTAGGCTTATTATACAACCGGGTTATGGTTGTTCTGCCATGCCAGTCAGCGACACTGTCACTGAACTGTAAAACTTAATATAATAGTGAATTAGCTGTGAAATCACTATAAATGAGTTATGAATAGAACAAAATCATTATTATATTAATAATATCACTGATTTCTATCTATATAATCATTATGTAAGGGGCCTACACCGAATAGATCGGTATGATATTGATAGATCTTATATAACAAAGAGAAAAATGTTAGAGAATATTTATATGTGTATATGATGATGTACATAATGAAGTTTCAGAGTGGAAGAATCTATATATGTTTATAACAGCTGAGAATTGATGATTGAGAATGACTGAGAGTCAGAGTGTACACATTTGAGAATGAAGTAGCAGCTGAGAATCAGTGATTGAGAATGACTGAGAATCAGAGTATATATATTTAAGAATAAAGTGATTGAAATCTGTGAAGTGTAACAGAATAGTCTATATAATTAATCAGACACTGTTCATCATATTAGTCTCTTCTTTTCAGAAGCAGTTTTCATCAGTCAAGAGTCACTGATGTCAGATAATATAAAACTCAGAGTTCAGATCAGTTGATTATAACTGACTTATTTCACAAGATATTATCAGCTACAGTTATAAGATCTCTTATTAAGAATATTCTCAATCTCTTACTGAAGCTTATTATCTTCTTCTATAATATCTGATAACTGTCAGTTAGAAGTCAGTTGAGAAGAGAACAGATCAGTGATAATATAATAAAACAAGCTTGTATAAAATATATCATGAATTTCTGATAATATATTAAGATAGTAGTTATAACTATCTAGAACTTCTATCACTTTATATTTAATATGATAATAATCTAGTATATAAGATAAATATGTGATTTATATATTCTTAAGATTTAATTATATCAGATCTTCTATCTTATATTATTCAGTGAGATCTCAGTGAATATTAATTTAATTCTCTTAATCTTATTTTACAGTTGTTATAAAGATCTCTGCTTAATCACACATATCTTGAAACTTTATTACTATATTATCAGTAATCTGAATCAGACTGCATAGATTTAATATAAACTGTATAATCTCTAAAAGATTCAACATCTTCATATAATAACTATATATAAGAAAGAACAGACTTATATCTGTTAAAATAGTATCTTATTCATTAATAATGATCTCTGTATATAGAAGTAGATTATATCAATTATCTTATAAATAATTATAGAACTTATAGAGATAGTTCTTTACAGTCTGAATTATTCATTCTAATATATTATCAGTGTCAGAGTAATAGACAGTTAACAGACAGTGTATAATCTTATGAACTTAACAGATTCTTATTCAGAGAGTACTTATAAATTAATAACTCTGATCTGATACTATTAATCTCAGTAACTTATATATTTAATAAAATGAACTCTATAAGAAGACTTCAGTAACTTGTTCAGTATTTATCTTATTACAAGATTTTAATATTATATCTTTACTTAGTTAGTTAATAATGATTAGAATATTTCTATAACTCTTACTCTTAGATAGATTAATAGTGAAGTTAATCACTACATCTTATCAGATTTTATTAGAAATATTAAGTAATTTCAGTAGATCTTTTCTACAGTTCTTTTATAAGATAATAGAAGAATAGTAATTACAGTTTCAGATAAAGTATCTGATACTATTTAATATCTCAGACTAATAGAACTCTTAAAAGATTATTCTATACAGTTATTCACAGTCTGAATAATCAGTTATACATGAATTATATATCTCTTACATTATTCAGATATATAAGAATTCAGAGTAAGAGACTCAGCATTATTTATAAAATTATAGAGTGTTATTATCATTGATTAAATATTCTGAGATGTCAATTCTTATATATAATTCTGAAAGAAATCAGAGTACTTCTTATTATACTGCTTCAGTAAGTGCTTAAAGAAGTTTATCAGTTTGAGCTACTATATATCATAGCTTATCTAATGTAGATTCAGAAGAAGTTAAGATATCAGTAACAGTTTTAATCAGAGAAGTATATATAGTGCTATAAGCTGTTTTATCTTGATTAACTAGTATCTTCAGATTTAAGAGTCAGTGCTCTCAGTTCATTCAGTAAGTATCTGTTATATCAGATAATATATCTCACTCTCATTATAAGAGAGTATCTATCATTGAGTTCTGACTGTCAGAATAATAGTGTATTATAAAATGAAAGTGACTTAAGAACTCAGATTATTGTATCTGTTATTCAGTGAGTTTACAGATAATTATGAAGTATTTGAGATTCTTATAATCTATAACTATCATAAATTCAGAGATACTTCAGAGTTCAGAGTCTCATTCAGTCATTCTTCTAAATAGTATATAATCATGAGAAGTTTCTTATTATAAATCTCATAATTGCATTCAGCAAAACTCAGTTTCTTAGACATGAAGATATATAATTGTAAAATATCTTTATTATCATATTACAATATCACTTCTTCTATTAGATAGTCAGAGAAATCAGCTTCAATAACTATCTTATAATCAGAATTAAATATTATCAGTAGAGAGATATTAATGAATATCTTCTTTATCTGTATAAATACAGCTTCAGTATCTGCTGATCATTGAAATACTGAGTCTTTCTTAGTGAGTTCTGTAAGTTATTATTATTATTATTATTCTTCAATTATAGATGTATGTAGTCAGAGACTATGACATCTACCTGAGAACTTTTAGTTCTCAGAGTTTTTCCTATATCTGTAAAGTTAACTATTATACATTCATCAATTTCAGATATGCAAAATAAGAAAATTTCAGCTCAGAATATAAAAACTGTTTACAAATTGCAGTGTTTTAACATCTTCTGATACTTTGAAATCATTTGACAATATCATGATAAAGGAAAAGAGAAAGAGAACACAGTCTTAAAGATAGACACATTAAATAGATAGATAGAAAGAAATTGAAAGGAAAAGATAAAGTAAAGAGAGACTGTAACAAAACAAATTATTAAAAGATAGTATATAGCTGTTTTAACAGATTATATCTGATTGATTTCCTTCTCTTCATATTCAGATACTTCTGAATTTAGTCATTTTCTTATAGCTGCTTGAGTTTCTGATAGAAAGTCTATTAAGTATTTAATTTCTGTCTCAGTTGAGAATAAGAATCTCATATTTAATTGATTTAGATCATACTTCTCTTTCAATCTGGCTCTGAGACTATTGTATAATGCACAGTGTATTACAATATACTCAGAATTCTCATTTGCATTACAGAATAAGCATTCTATTAAGTCAAATCTATCATCAAATCTTTGTATATAAGATTTGAAATAGTCATATCTCAGTTTCAGCTGTATTATAGATGAGAATATTTTCTTTTTATATTTAATTAAACAAGATTTTCACTTGAGTTTTGTTTCAAATCTTGAATAATGTATACTCTTCTTTTGTTTCTGTCAGCTTTCATTTCACTTATCAAAACAAGATTCTTTTATTTTTCTCTTTATAAAAGATCAGAATATAATTTTTTGAATAGATCTGCTTAATTCTGCACTCTTTTTTGCAGCTGAATCAGTCAATTCATTATCATAAATATTCATATAAGCAGAAACTCAGTGTAGATGAATTATCAGCTTTGATATTCTTCTCTTTTGAATTTTCAAAACAGAGTTTAAGATAAGTTCAAGATTCATTTGATTATTATAAATCTGACTATTTCTAAGTCTTTTTAAAGCAGCTTAACTATCAGAGAATATTCATGCCTCTTTCAAACTATTTCCTCTTTTATAAGATTTTATTTCTATGAGTTTGAAAGCTTTCACTATTGCAAATAGTTCAGCATCAAAGACCTCAGATTCACAGCCTATATTTCTGTAAGAATAAGTGCTCGCAGGCGATTATTCGGGTGTTTGCAGCTTGGCGTGATATGTACTGTTAACTACTAGAAGTATTCATGATAGGAAGATAGAATGTAGAGATCAAATGTATAATAGTATTCAAGCTGAGTTATAAATAGTATTCATGAACTCCAGTCTATATAGTTGTGTGTAGCCAAGAGTCACTAGCTCTATTGATTATGTGAGAGATAGAAATAGAGATAAAGAATTCACAAGAAGCAGGATTTCTTACATACTCTTCTCTCTCTAAGACTTTATTCACAAAGCCTTTCACTGAGTGACTTCATAGTCAGCTCAGCACTGCAGTGATACTCACTAAAAACTCTTTACATCTATAAAAAATCTCAGTGAGGAAAAATCCCTTATCACTGTGAAGAGAAAAGAGTCTGTTACTCAGTTTCTTATTCTGTGAGATTCTTTATAATCTACAGATTCTTCTCTAACTATTACACAGATTCATCTCACATCTTTTATACAGAAGAGTTTCAGTTGACTTTCAATCATTTTCATGAGATTCTTGTATAATTATTATACAGATTCATCTTATAGATGAATCACTCTTTGTAAGATCACTCTCATTAAAGAGAAATATTCATAAGTTAATCTTTCACTCATTCTTATAAATTATTGTTCTTTGATACTGTAGAATTGTGAGAAATTTTTCATTCTTTCATTAACTCTGTAGAATTATAGAATCAAGATATTCACAGCCTGCAATCACTCTTTATAATTATATAGAAAGATTCAGATCTGTAATTTATAATCATTCTTATTTACTAGAGTGATCTGACTGTTCTATAAGATTATTCACAGTGTAAGTAAATCTCTCTAGAGTAGTATAAATATCTCAGATCTGTCTATAGAATCTCATCTTCTTTTCTCTTTTTTTATAACAGCTTTCATTCTCATAAACTGTGAGTATCTTTATTCATTCATGAAGTGTTTTCACTCAGATAACAGAGAGAGAGTGTTTCTGACAATGTTCATATATTAATTCAAGAACTTCTCAAGAATAAAAATTTTCAATTTCAATATCTTCACAAATGATGTCTGACTACTGC